TTTAGTTGTTATTTCTTTCAGCTCAATTTTCTTCTTCATCATTATTATTTGCTTTATAAATGCATTTTAGTTGTTATTTCCTTCAGCTGAACTTTCTTCGTCATCTTTATTATTTGCTTTCTAATTATATTAAATGCATTTTAGTGAAAAAGAGCAAACTTTTATAAATAACAAACAATAAAAATAATAGATCAGAACTAATTTACTCTTTCAGCTCAACTTTTTCCTTTGCCATCTTATATTAAATGCATTTTAGTTGTAGGAAAGAACAAACTCTTATAGATAGCAAGGAATAAAATAAATAGATAAGAACTAATTTACTTTTCCATCTCAAATTTCTTTTTCATCATTATTATTTGCATCCTATATTAAATGCATTTTAGTAGTGGGAAAGAACAAACTCTTATCGATAACAAAGAATAAAAAAAATAGAACTAATTTACTCTTCCAGCTCAACTTTCTCTGTGAGATACCAGTATCAAAGGGACTGGTTAGAGTCAGAATACACCAGACCCTAAAAGGTTCTCGCCTAACAAAAGAGAACATAGCACACTGGGGGGTTCTTAAGACAAAAATAAATCAGTCCACCCAGAACCGAAGCCCCACAAAAGGCCTCTTACAGACCCAGTGTTGAGATAAGAAATTTTACCCTTTGGGCCCCGTGAGCATAGTTATCGCCCATCCGAAAGTGTCTTGACCTTTGAGAATAAAAGATCAAGGGTAAGATGTATTGGGATAAAGTCAAGGATTTTTCCGAAATATAGCTCCTGTCTTTGGTTTTCTTTTTTTTTTTTAATTTTTTTTATTTATTATAAGTTCATTGCTGAAAAGTCCCTTTCAACCGCTGCAGTACGGGAGACAGAGAAAACATCCATTCCACCATGCGCAGTTTGTTGCTGTATTTCTAGATTAGAGGGTCATTTTAGAAGTGAGGCACTAGACTCTTGTAAGATAACAAAAATTGAAAATGTATCACTAACATTAACGGGAAAATGGCCGTCCACGTGGACGTCGGATTCGAGAAATTCGTTGTCCGCGGGGAATTTTTGACCGCCCAGGACGGGTGGTTTTTCGAGCCCTGCTTATTATTACCTAAAAGTAATAAAATTATTTTAAGTAAATTATCATACGTGATTAATACCCAAAATATGAAACGATGCTACAGTGAAACCTCTCGAGGCGACCACTCTCGGAGGTCGTTGATGAAGGTTGGTCGTTCTTAAAGGTTACCTTAAGATTAACTTCAAAATTGTTATAAAAGGAACATAATTTTTCGCTAACGAGTTTAATTTTACTCGGTGTCATTTTCTTGGTGCGGAAATGTCACTTATGTTGGCGTCATGAAAATACGGCGTAAAATAAACTGATAAAATTATGTGTTAAAACAAAGCTACCAATTATGAATGATAAAGCTATTTTAAATAAACAACTGTTTTTTGTTTAAGTTTGCATTTAATTTGATATCATAAAAATTAGTTCTTTAACACTTGTTTTTTCTGAAATATATATATATTTTTTCTAATTTAACTTTCAACTCTAAAAGTAAATCATAGATATAGCATCGTCTTTAATGTATTCTAACTGCAACATGAGGTTGTTATCAACAAAAAGAGCTCTCTAAAGAAGAGCCTCACACAAATATTTTGAATACATTTTAATCTAATTATTTGTTCTGATATTTTTTCGTGTTTACTTATTTGACCTTTTCCACATGCGGTGCAGAGGTTTATCCGGTCACTGGGAGAGGTTTTGATGGTCTCTCCTAAAGGTTTTCTTCAACACAAAGACTATGGGGAAAAAAATTCCATGCCTTTCAAAAGTGGTCGTAAATGGAGGTGGTCTTTCCTGAAAGGTTCACTATATTTTCAAAAGGCACTAACCACTTATCAATCTTGGGAACGCAATAACCATTTTCGATATTAGCGCGCGACAAACATTTTTCTATAGAATATTATTCCGCTAATATTTTTCAATTAAGTGTTCGATAAAATAGTTATTTCTGATTTAATAACATAATAATGATCTTTTAAATGAAATTAAATCAATAAGCAAACGTACTTTTTTATAAATTAATTTTAAATTTAAATCTGCATTTCCTCCTTTATTATGTTTTGGCTGTGACTTAAAATTTCATTTTTTTAATGCAGTTAGACAATTAACAGAGATGCCAACTTGCTCCGGACAGCGAATTAATATTTTCTAGTGGTAGTTCATTAATTGTGATTTTTGGTTTAATAAATTTAATTTAGTAGATTTTTATCCACCACTATTTCTAAATAATTCGATGACTTATATAATTCGCCACTTAGCTGTATTTAATTCATGCTAATCCTTTTAAAAAGTAAGAAAAATTCGTCAAATATTTTCAAATTCTAATTGTATTTATTTACCATTTTTTAAATAATTTTAGCTTGTCCGGAGCAGTTGGCATCTCTGAATTAAACGAAAATTATTTCTATCTTAGGCCACGAGAAAAGGTTTTAACTGCTCCCCCCCCCCCCCAAAANCCACAACCCCCCCCCCCCCCCCAAAAAAAAACGCACTTGGGGTCTAATTTGTCATTATTTTGGTTTGTCCCTCTAAAGGAAAATAAAATTCCAGATGCTTCAAATAAATCATGTGGAAAATAGGACCTCAAGTATTTCGCTGAACTAGAACATAAGTTCTATGCACTATAGTTCTATTTTTTTCAATAGTTCTATGCACTTGAAGGTCAGAGATCGGTAGTTATGATTGAACGTAATAGGCCCTGTCTATTTCTAATGGTTTACAGAATTTTGCAGACTATTTTTTATGCTGTAAATTCTGCTTATTTTAAATTTAACTCTAAGGATGATAAATAAAAAAAATAAAAAATCAGAACTATTTGGCAGCTTTACTTTGAAAATACAAATAAGTAGAAAAAAGACTTTCTCTCGTTTATCATGTTTAAAACACTTTAAAAATAGTACTACATACTTGAATGAAGTTTTTTATATCTATGTTTACAACAAAAATATTTCTGAGGTTGCCAAGGTAAAATGTTAAATATCGTCACATTATGGAAATACAAGTTGAAATTTATAAAAGTTGCTACAAATAAGAAAACTTATTTTAAGACTGCCTTAACTATTTCCCCCTGTTAAAGTTCTAACTTATGTGTTGTTTTTGTTTTTTTATGCGTTAGACATGGTTTTTTTTTTCTTGGCGTTTAAGAGCCTCTCTGAACGGAAATTCTTCATATCTACAAAATAGTTTGTTCTCTTTTTACCTTTTTCCTCTAGGCTAAAAGCTTTTAAGTTCCTCCTCACAGCTTTTTTTTTCTTCATAAGATGTTATTTGTATTTGCCTGTTATTGTGTCTTTTTAAACTTTTTGTAGTTCTTCTCAAAATTAAAGTTAACTCAAGTTATCAAAAACTAATAGAGGAGGGAAATCGCTCTTTTTTACATATATAACTTTAATCACAGTTGCAAAAAAAAATCAAAGTATGCCTTTTTTTTTTTTTTTTGGAGACTTATTTTAACATTTTTGTATGTCCAAATAGCTGTTGTATGTGGAATCAATCATAGAATGTAACCAATCATCATGGAGACATAGAATTAAATAATGATCTAATTCCTTAGTTTTTGATGATTTTTATTTCCAGATAACGCTGTATTGTTTTGTTTTTTTATCATTGGTTTGATTTTGCATACATTTATTCTTTAGTATGTACAATATGTACGATATAGTTATGAAATTATCGTCGCATGAAAATAACTATAATTATCAGTTTTCTTTTAAAGTTATTTTGATCTATCTTAAATTGAGGAATCTATTTCTGAGGTCAAAAATTCAGGTTCCAAGATTTTTCACTTGATGCTCAAAATCGTCCCAGTTATCAAAAAATAATGATTTCTGATCATTTTATTTTAATTTTAATGCTTTATTTGAAAACGCTATATGTTTAGCGTGTTTTTTTCCCCATCTCACTAAGTATGCCATACAAACAAAATTTTCAGATCAGTGGATTTCATTATATATTTTTTTTAAAAAAACTTGCTTTCCCGTTTCCCTTTTGAGCACTAGTCTAGTCTATGCGTTTTGTACCCAAAAATTTCCTGAATTTTATTTTTAACCACTACAAAGCCTGTATAATGATAAAACTTAGGTCTCCCTAAGAATTAAAAAAGGCGAAAAAAAAAAGAAAAAAAACAGGCATTCAACACCATAAAAATGTATCAAAATGTAATATTATGTAATAACTGAATTTGATCTTCAACAATTTTTAAATGGCACTCTTATATTATTTCATGTGTATATTTCTAAAAATGATTCTCTCTCATTATCAGACTAAAGAGAAAAATTTGTAGTTTATTAAAATAATGAAAGTTATGCTTTTAGATAAGATATAAAAAAAAAAAAATTTCAAAAAAAATAAACTAAAAATAATTATTAATTGATAAACAACTTGAAAGATTTTTATCTAATTTAAATTGAAAATTATGAAAAAATAAACTTTTAAAGTTTCATTAAAAAAAATTTTAATATCCCCACATGATGAAAGAGATATTTTTTTAAAAAAATTTAAGGAGTTGAGAATAATCTTAACAAAGTAAATATTTGTAATAGTAATCTGAATTAAACTAATAAGCACAGATAATTTTACCAGTGTATGACTATTATTTAAACAGTGAGTTATTATTTTTTTCAAAATGGAATGTGAATAAAAAGGTAGTGTTCTTAAGGGATGGCGGCTTATTTTTACAGAAAATCACAGCTCATTTATAGGAATCAAAGGACAGGCTGTCCTTCTTAGAACGTTCAAGGAAAACGCTGTAAAACTTGTTCATGCATTTCTATTTATTATGATGTTAGATTTCCCATGAACTGAGAAGTACCCTGATTTCTAAATCTTGGCCCTTGTAACATCAAAAATGTCTTGTAGTCAAAGTATTTTTAATACCTAGTAGTTGGACTATGTTTGTAGTACTATTTATTATTTCAATAACTTACTTATTATGCATTGTTTTTTTCCAGCTTATACCTCAAATTTCCTCATTAACTCCTATAACTACTGCTGTGCCTTTGATTGTTGTGTTGTCCATTACTGCCCTTAAAGATGCCATCGATGATTTCGTAAGTCTTTTTTTTTTTTTCTTTCTTAGTCTACCTCTTTAGTGGTTGTTCCTCTTTGAACACAGAGAGGAGTAATGGGAAAAGGTTTTCAACTATGTATGTTCTTCAAAAGTATTGTTTAGATTCAAAATTTGTGAGTAGCTACAGTTTGATTGGAAAGCGATGGGTCAAAATTTAATTATTCATGATGTAAGTAAATTATTAGAAATGGTTTGCTTTTATTGAATAAAAATTGTGACCTTTTGCTGTAAATCATTGCCTAAAGTTGAAGTCTAGATCTCACGCTATTGTTCCTCTTTTTAGCAAAGGCATCGGAGTGATAGCCAGGTCAACAACAGGCTATCTCGGGTGCTGCGGGGTGGTCGATTGGTGGATGAAAGGTGGCATAAAGTACAAGTGGGAGACATCATCCGCATGGAGAATGACCAGTTCGTTGCAGTAAGAAACTTATTTTAAGCTTTTTTTTTGTACGGTGTAAAAAATATAATCAATAAATCAGTGGTAAACAACAAAAACATGCTCAAAACTGAACCAACAAATACCACTAAAATAATTCCAATGTTTTTTATTTTTTATTATTTGTTGCCCTTCCAAGTGTCTTTACGTTATTAGATTAAACAAAACACATGCTTAGTAGTGCATCCCCTGAAATTATAGATTGACTGTGTTTGATATCATTTTCCATAATGCTGTTGCTTCAAGCAACTCGTGATATTTAAAATTTATTACAATCAAGCAACTTTCTCCTGGGCTTATATCTTGGACGGGTCCTTAAAAAACCTATTTCTGCAGTATCTATCATAAAAATGCACTGTATTGGTAAAATGCGGCACAAAGTTTACACATAAAATACTTTGTACCCATAAAAGAATTTATTTGGTACTCTGTTATTTTGCTTTTCAATAAACTTTTTTTCTTCCAGTTATAAATTATTTCGTTTTATAATTACACGTTTTAAAAGTTGTATAACAATAAACAAAATAAACACATGGTTTCAGATAACTTTATGAATACTAATTTGGTGACTAAGTCCACCCATGCTGCTTCCATCACATTGATCATTCAGATAATCTGGCGTAATAAATAGAACATGCAATACAACTTTTTTCATTAGAGCTGTAAGCTAACAAACATTACTGATGTTGCCTTTAAAATATTAGGCCAAACTGAGTCATTTATAGTTTAATTAAAGACAACAGCTTTCGCTAAATCAATGAGAAATTTTAATTTTTTAAACATCTCGGAATTAAAACTATAATTTAAAAAATTTAAAATACGGCTTCATGATTTGTTTACAGTTGTATTCATTTTAGCTTTATTTTGAATGTCTTATTTTTAGACACACAAACATAAATTGTTTATTTTAATATAAAGATTAAAGTTAGTTGTCCTTTAGATCTTGAAGCAGAATAATTTTTGTTATAGGCTGATCTTCTCCTCTTGTCATCAAGTGAACCTAATGGATTGTGCTACATAGAAACTGCTGAACTAGATGGGTAACGTCCTCTATTAATTGATTCATAAGCATTAACATTTCTTAATTTTTATGGTAAAAGAAAAAAATACATCTTCAATTTTTCTTTTTCAAAGATTTTTTTTTGTTGCTTTTTTTAAAGTTTAGTGTGTAAAATAGTGCTAAAAAATTTTTTTTTAATTACATTTTGTTGGAGTAATGACCAATAGATAATTATATAACTTGCATATGTTATTCTACGAGCACTAAAGTGTCCATTAAACCATTATTAAAGGTAAAGGCATGTTTTAATAAATTAAAAGAATTTCTGTAAATTTTTAAAAAAAATTATTGAGAAAATGAATCTTCATTAAATCAAGGTAACATTGCAGAGCATAAATTCTACACCCATTATATGTAAAAGTAGATTATTTTTATTGCATATGTCTGTTAATCAAAAATTTATTATAGTTAGTCAATGAAAAATATGTTTACAATGTTTTGTATTTTAGTGAGACAAACTTGAAATGTCGCCAGGCATTGGTTGAAACAGCAGAGCTAGGCGACGACAATGAGAAGATTGGCAGTTTTGATGGTTGGTTTACAATAACTTTAATGCCTTTGATTTTTTTTGTTGTAATTTTTGATAAATTTTATTTTAAAAAAAAGCGCTTTATTTTTGTTAAGAGGAATATGTTCTGCCGCACAGTCCATTCACGTTAATGTGACCACCTGCCACAAGCCAGAATAACCACCTTTCTTAGAACCGGCCACTGTGAGCCTTGCTAGGAGAGCGTAGATTAGGTTCGTGTAGGCATCCGCTGAAATATTGAACCATGCCGTGGCTTGCTGTGCTAGGTTACACAATTGAGGTTTCACCGACCATCCACTTCTAAATGTTCAAATACTTGATACGAATTTCTTGATTAAGATGATCCCTCAGATACTTGATTGCATCGAATTCTGATAAGTTTGGTGGCCAATGGCGTAAGGTAAACTAATCTTAGTTCTCTTTGAACCTTACATGTACACTGCGAGCTGTATGAATCATTGTCCTGCTGGTGGTAAAAGAAATCATTTTGAGGAAAAACATTTTGCAAGTGGTGGTTGACATGATCCACAAGAATAGATGCCTGCTTGTGTTTATTCATTGTACCTTTGACAATGATGAGCACACCAAGCAAATATCACAAAAGCATTCCCCTGACCATAAATGCTCCCTCCTCCAACTTAGACCTTTCTGGCAATCATTGCAGGGTGTTAGCTTTCAGACATTATCATATATACCAACATCCGCGTGTCCAATGAAGTACAAAGCTTGATTCATTGAGAAAATCCACCTGTCGCAACTCGGTTGGCGTCCTTGGATGTTGCAGTTTTATAGTGCAAATTGCAGCCTTCACCTCCAATGAGCATTTCGAAGCATGATCCATCCAGTTGCTGTTTTTGAGTGCAAATTGCAGCCTTTGGCTGCGATGAACGTCCGTCAGCATAATCTGTCAGCATGTATGCATAAACCAGGTATAAACTTTCGATGAAACATTGTGCAAGACATTGTTGGTATCCCCTTGATTTATTTGGGTAGTCCCACAGCACAGGGCAGCTTAGTGTCTGGTGGTTACTCAACAATTGCATGTCTGTTAGTCTGAATGCATCTCCGCTGCTATCATCTCTACATTTCCACAAACACCCTCTCTATTTGCTTCTTTGCAATGTGCTTTTACCTGTTTTTTATGATTGGTTATTTTACATTGATGTGGAAAGTAGATGGTGGTCACATTAATATGACTGGACAGTGTATTTGTTTTCCCCTACATTAAATTGTTTTCCTTTTATCTATCACTAGGTCTTATATAAGATACTTTATTTTTGGCTAGATTTGAATTTGCAAAACCTGTATAATATAATTTGTTTGAATATTATATAAAAGTTACAATAAAATGTTATTTTAATACATTTTCTTTTCTAGTACTTTAAAGACCATTTTCTGCTTAATTATTTACTATAATAATTTGCACTTTGTTTCAGTTAATTAATGTTTTTGTCTTGACACAAACTGGTTCCTTACATTAAAAACATGCATGACAAGCATTGTGCTAGTTTTATTTTTCTAGTTAATATAAATCAAATAACATTTTTTAAAGTTTTAAACAATTAAAGTTTGTTACTAAAATAGATAACTTAACAGGCACAATTTAGTTCTTTCAAGTTTATTTCACACAATATTTAGAAGAAAAAAAAATTGTTGAGATTCTATTTTCATAAATAGTCAAAAAAATTTCCACCTCTTTCTTTCAATTTTGATTATATATATTATAAATGAGAATAGAGATAATATAGACTTTTCTTCCTGAAGGTGAAATAATATGTGAAGCTCCGAATAACAACCTTAGCAAATTTGAAGGAACATTGAATTGGAAGGGGAAAAGTTACATGCTGGATAATGACAAGATGTTGCTGCGTGGGTGTGTACTCCGTAACTCCAAATGGTGTTACGGTGTGGTGGTGTTTGCTGGAAAGGATACTAAGCTAATGCAAAACAGTGGAAAGACCATCTTCAAACGCACCAGCTTGGATAGGCTTCTCAATTTATTAATTATTGGGGTGAGTCCATCTAGACTTTTCATCAACCATTACCATACCTGCCAACTCTACTGGATTTTGCCAGGACTATTATAAATAAATTGGAATTTTTTTCTTAACTGGAAATATTTCTGATTCTTGTTTTGAATAAAAAGGCAACTTAAATTGTATTTTTAAAATTAAATGATGAGATGCTTAAACACATCATGAGAGAAGGAAAATTACATTTCAGGCTAGCATAGTAATTAAAAATTAAATTCCTTACGGGACAAGTTTTAATTACATGTTCTTTTCCACACTACTTGGCACCTTTTTAACCCAGTTAATATGAGAAAATTTTTCTTGTATTTATTTGGGTTGGAAAAGAGCAATTTGTGCAAGTGTTCTTAATACAGATAACTATCTTTATTTTTCAGCACAAAAATTTAAAGGGAAAGCTTCATTTGAAGTCAAATTTTGTTACCTCAGATCTTTTTATTATTAACATTTAAAATTTTAATTCATTTTGTTAGCATTTGAATAAACGAAAAAGATAGGCCCTGAATTATGTACATTTTTTTAATTATAAATTTTAAAAAAGTATGTATTTAGTTTTTTTTTGAAGAAATCTCTTTTGTCTTTTTTCAAGTTTAATTTTGATTAGGAAGTTTTGAAATCATTATAATAGTTAAGAAAAAAAATAAATATTGTAAACTAAATTTAAAACTATATTTTATAATTTATTAACAATTTGTTTCTCAATGTTTAGGTTAAGTTGATATTTTATATTATTTGAAAAATAACTGTTTGTGTTTTGAACAGATAGTCTTCTTCCTTCTGAGCATGTGCCTCTTTTGTACCATTGCGTGTGGTGTGTGGGAAACTGTGACTGGCCAACACTTCCGCATTTACCTTCCATGGGACACGCCAGTGCCTACGAACAACGTCACCAGTGGGGCTACGGTCATCTCTTTGCTCGTTTTCTTCTCGTACGCCATAGTCCTCAATACTGTCGTCCCCATTTCTCTTTATGTTAGGTATACATCATTAAGCCTATCTTCTAATTTTTGTCTTAATCTGTTCATTAATTTTGTTTTTAGGATGGCATAATTTTAGTACTTATCAATTTTATTTTATTATTCTATAGCTATTAACTTGTTTTCTTAAATTTTGTTTTCTAATTTATCTGTTAAGTTCTGTAGTAAGATAATCTTTTAATGATTAAAGCACTTATTTTATAACTGTGTATGCTGAGTTAGTTCATATCTCTTTTATATTGCAAATTTTTAACAATAAATTATATTATACACGTGCGTTGTTATACACGTAATACTACTCTGTGTAAGTTCATTACATTTAATGGAATATAATATATTGGATAGTTAAAGAACTTTGTAGCAGAATGTTTTAAGTAACAATTTTGAAAAGGAAAACTAATATTTGTTTTTAAAGAACTATATCATTTTAGTATTAACTATACAATCTTGATTTATGTTAAGAAATTATTTTAATTTTGAAGAATCCATTGTAAAAATTTTTTCTTTAAATTGGAAGAAAGCTCTAAGTGCATTTACCAACAAACAATCTATGACAACTTTAGATAATCTTCCTTTTGGTAGCATATTAAAATGCCAAAAGTTGAGTTAAGATCTGCATGATTCAAATGAGTATAGGAGATTTTTAGATTCTTTTATTTGGGAGTTAGATTCTATTAATTGGCTAATTAATTCCACATGCCTTCTAAAAACAGTAACCTATAAAACCAGGATTGATGTAATTTTACTTGATTTAAATTATGTTTTTTAAATTGCCTGTAATTTTTCAAACATTTTTTGCATTTAATTTTTCTTTATAAAGGAATTTTGGGTTTTTTTTTTTTTAAACTTTATTTTAGCCAACATTGCTATAAATTTTAAAGGTAATTTACTTAAACCCAATAAATTGTCAATTTAGAATATTAGATTATCTTAACTATTTTTGTATTTCTGAATTCAAAATAATTCCCCATAGTGTTGAAGTAATTAGATTCTGCCACAGTCTTTGGATCAACTGGGATGACAAAATGTACTACGCTCCCAAGTATGCGGCTGCTCGAGCCAGGACCACCACACTCAACGAAGAGCTTGGACAGATAGAGTACATATTTTCTGATAAGACTGGGACACTCACCCAGAATATTATGACTTTCAACAAAGCATCCATTAATGGCCGTGTCTACGGTGAACTATTAGATGAAATCACTAGAGAACCTTTAGAAATTACTGAAGTAAGATTTTTTTCATAGTTTTAACCGCACGCTCAAAACAATGTACTCTATTTTGTTAAAAGAATGCTGCATGAAAGAAACCTAAACAAAATGGATCCTTTTGAAGCAGGGGTTTCCAACTTACGTGGGGCCGGGGGGCCGCAATTTAAAACACCAGTGAAATGGCGGGCCACAACTTTATTAAAATTTTATACAGGACTCTTTTATGTTTGAATGAACATTAAATATTACTGTCAGATTTAAAGTTTTTTTATTATCAAAAAGCAAAATAACAAGCTTTACAAATAATGCTTGTTCCGTATCATTTTGAATCTTCTCTTAATCAGAAACTTAGTAACAAGATTTTTGTTTTCTTTTAAATTTATTTCTGTGATAAATTAACATTTTTTTTGGACTTATTAGGAACTATAGCAACAACAAAAAAATTTCTCGATTGTCTGAAATGAGTTTTTTTTTCTTTTCCGCTCATGCGATATTTAAATAAAGTGATATTCATTCCCTCTTTTAAGTGTTTTAAAATTTACAAATGTTAATAATTTCTTCCAAAATGAGTAGTTTAAAAAAAAAGTTTAATAGGAGAATTTCTTCAAAAAAATGTCTGATACGCACATGCTAAATTATATTCACGAAATATGAAAGAAAACTAAATATAAGAAAGCAACATACACGATTATTTTTGTATTTGAATAAATATTTTCCTGGGTGCAAAACCGGAGAAATTTTTTCCATCGTTGATTTGTTGTTTTCACAGATCGTTGATTTCACAGAAACGAAAAAATTGGGCTTTCTTAAACGAAAGAAAAGTATTTTAAACCCATATGGATTTTTTTACGAAAATTGTCAGCAAAAAAACGACAACTAATATATTTTAGTTTGCTGGCTACAAAAAAGGCTTCCGGCCAATTGGTAATCACTGCTTTAGAGGATGCTATACTGTAAGAGAAATCCTTCATGGAAAATTCTCATTTACCAACATAAGTAATTAAAAATGTAAAGCTTAGAAAAAGTGAATTTAAGTAAACTATGAAGTTTCAAATGCTGACTTTTTTTCCTAAATGCAAATAAATTATGACCGGATTATTTCCCCACTGTTTAATCCTAATTAATCCTGACAGAATTTGTTTTCATTTTGATATTTTTTTTCAGCATTTGAAACTTCTAGATTTGCTTTAACTTACTTTTCTCTGAACTTTAAATTTTAAAATACCAATAGAGGTGAAACAGAATTGCCATAAAGAATTTCCCCAGTGGTATAGCGTCCTTTTAATAACTTGATGAGATCTTTACATGCTAAGATACAGTCTTAATAGTTCCATTAAAGAGTGCAAATGACAGTCAAGGAAGCTGTATGTTAAAACATTTATTTCTCAGGAACTATTTGATTTATTTTGCTCAAATTTTAGCTTTTATCATTGAAAATGATTTAAATTACAATAATGTAAAAAATTTTGTTCGAATTATTTATTTGCATCGAGTTTTGTTTGAAAAATTGCTTCATAACTTTGATTCACTTGCTTACCCTTAATTCAATGTCAAATAAGACACATTTTACTGTCTCTGCAACACAGTAATGATACTTGCAATTTCATGCAAACTATTCAATGCTGTAACAATGCATGCTATCTTATGCAAGTTATTCAATACTCCTTTATTTGTTATTGCTTTAACTTTCAATTTTAATATTGTTGTGACTTTTTTTTTAAAAAAATTATTGTATCCATTTAATAAACTTATTTTATAAACTTTTAGTGTTGCATAAATAATAATGTCTTTATATACTATTTGTCTGTGTGATATCTCTAGATGCTAAGCAGCTTAATTTCTATAAAAAATTTAAATAATAACGTTTATTTTGTTTCAAGTAATAAAAATAAATTTAACAGCAATAAATATTTTAACTTGTATGTTATCAAAATATTTAATAAAGAAATAATTGTGTGAATTATTATAGTGGGTCAAGAAGAAACTCTTTTATCTGACATACAATATTATTTAGTTTTAACAATATTTCAAAATCTACGAAAAAGTATGAATATTTAGCAATATATATTATTGCTCTTAATAGAGTTCCATTTTTCTTGTTAATTTTGTATGTGCTTTGAAATCAGCATTAAATTTCGTTATAATTTTTTAATGAGAAAAAAGTAATAATCCTATTAAATTTCAGCAATAAATATTATGCTAAATAATTGGAATAACATAAAAGCTTTCGAAATTTTTAATTTATTTTGATATTCTTTTATTAAAAAAGGGATGATGCTTGAAGAAATTTAAGCAGCTCAGGGATTGCTTTGTATAATTAACATAAATAAAGCTAACATTCATTTTTAATGTCTGGCATTTAATGATGAATGAACTTTTTTTAGGACACAAAAGCTGTAGATTTTTCTCTGAATCCTTTGTATGAGCCTTCTTTCAGGTTTTATGATAAAAGCCTTCTAGAACAAGTGAGAAGTGGGGACCAACGTGTGCACGAGTTTTTTCGTATTCTTGCTTTGTGTCATACGGTCATGTGTGATGAAAAAGATGGTAATTATTCTTTTTTTCTCCATTAGGTAATTATTTTATAAATGAATAATTTAACGTAATATGTGTATTCTTAGGCAAGCTTGAATACCAAGCCCAATCACCTGATGAAGCTGCTCTTACATCAGCTGCCAGAAATTTTGGTTTTGTTTTTAAGGTAATAACTTGATTTGTTCTTTCTTATCAATAATTATTCTCCTTATTGATTATTTCAGTTGGTATTTCATTTCAGATTTATATATACTTATTATTTTGGTTTTTAAAAACTAAAATTGTTTCTTTTGTTTACATCTATATATATATGTATCTATGTATCCATCCTGTTAACGAACACAAGACCTAATCCATGCCAATTATTTAAAACACCTGCAAACTACACATTTGTAGAAACCAGAAATTCTAAATTTAAACTTGTTGACAATTCCACTGATCTTGGTTCAAGTATTATTGCCTTGAATGATATAAGCGCAGAAATGAAGAGACGCATTATAGCAGCTAATCAATGCCTTCATGGTTTCAGAACAATTTTTAAAGTCAAAATTAATTGAAAGATGAACAAAAATAATGCTATATAAAACAGTCATTCATGAGAACTGTCTTAACTTATGGATTGGAAACATGATCTTTAACTAAATCTAAAGTAGACCTGTTTGCTGTTTATGAGAGAAAATTTTTCGGTGCTGTAATTGTGGATGGCTTATGGCAGTGTTTCTCAAACTTATGTTTTTTGTATACTCTTTCTAAATTTTTCGTAACGCTGTGTACCACTTATTAAAAACTGAATGTAATTTATACTATAAAAAAATTGCACAAAAGTTAAAAATCACAAATGGCTGTTGACGCCACTAATTATTAGCTGTTAACTCTGCAAAAAATAGCAAATAGAAAAATACATAATCGTAAACTTTCATAGCTAGCTTTGTTTTTTAATTAAAATGTTTTGAAATTTTCGTTTGCTACAAGATATTTCGCATAAGAACGTGTATCACACTTTGGGAAACACTGGCTTATGGAGTCAACGTCATAATTTTGAACTACATAGGCTACTCAAAGCTGATATTAACAAATACATAAAAATGGCTTGTGGAACACATCTGTCGGATGGGCATTTAAGATCTTCTATTACAAACCAATGGGAACTAGAGTTGGCCCCAGATCAGATGGGTTGACACTCTGGATCATATGAATTACTAAATAGTGGAAGGCTCTGGCCGACAAAGGGAATGACTAACTGAATGCTAACTGAAGAGGACATATATGTATCACATAGTGCGATCAAGCTTGGAAAAGATACCCACACAGGTGGGAAATTTAGGCACACACTTTATCTTATCAAGAAGAGCATTAAAATATAAACACTGCTTTTTTTATGATAGAAATTTTTAGGGAAATATATTGTAAGACCCCCAATTATATCCAGGGTCTGTAGTTGTCCTTATATTCCTGATTTTTATATGTATTCATTTTCTACAAATACAAATTTGAATTTTAAATAATCAATGTGCAGAATCAAAAGATTTGTATTTTTGATCCAGCATCTTTTTTATTTTAACTAATAATGTTAATAAATATTGCAAAAACTTGATATTTCGAACTTAGGGACTGTTTACTAATTACAAGTACTGTCGAACCTCATTAACGTGAACTAATTTTCGATTCCCTGTCACATTTTATATGGATAATATACTTTTAAGTTGACTCTTTTTCGGTAAAATATCCTTTAAGCTGAACTCTAATTTCATTGTCCTAGGAAAATTTTTAACTTTTAATGTGAGCATAAAATTTATTTCTTCTCTGACAAGTAAGAAAACTGGTCATGCACAGTTAACAATACAGTAATTGTATCATGTAATTTTTAAGTGGTTAATTGTAGAATCATACACTAAATTACTTTTATGCTTTCATTGAGAAAATATATTTCAATAATTTTAAGTAATTTAAACACTGTCAGATAGCTAAAAAGAGTTTCAAAAATAATCTTTCAATAGAATTATTTTAAAAATGACATTCACGTAACTATTTTATTCACTGGTCACCAAGTGAAAAGCACAATTCTGTCAACTACCACATGGACAGACCGGATCAGACAGGTTATTAAAAAATGCAATGTTTTTTTTTTCCGATTTCAATTTTGTGTTTAGTTTAAGTTGAAAAGTTTTAATGAATCTTTTTCTTTCAGTCTCGTACACCCACTAGTATCACAATAGAAGTGATGGGACATATAGAAACTTATGATCTGCTAGCAATTTTTGATTTCAATAATGTCCGCAAACGCATGTCTGTGAGTATAAGTTCTTTGCTTCCAGGCTTATTCCTTTCAAAAGATCAATCTTTTAAACTAAAAACTCAATTTTTGTGAACTGATTAAAAGAGTACTTTTTCTTCATAGTTGTAAATTCTTTTGTGCGTGTATGTGTTTATTTTGTCATTCTAAATGTCTTATTTTTTGTAGTAAATAATTTATGTTATAGAGGATTTGTTTTGCAAAATATTTTCCTTTTCTGTTGGCATGAATTTTTTTTGTTGACTTTTTTTAATATTTAGAATTGTGCAATTTATTTAGTAACAGTGGCAGTTTTGTATAATTTTTTAATGTTTATAATTGTTTCTATTGTACATTACATTAAAACAACTTTGAAAAATTATTACTAACTTATAAAAGAAAATTTTTTTAAATTTTTTAGCAATTAAAAATGTATGTTTTTAAAAATAGTGACTATTTTTTTTTTTATCTAACAATCTACAGTAAAAATATAAGTTTTTAAAGAAAATGATCTGTTTTGAAAGAAAATGTATTGTCAATGTTTTTTAGTGATTTCAAAGCTTTGAATAATTAAAAAATATTTTTAATATTTGAATAAAATCTTATTGAATCTTTGAATAAAAATTTCTTTATGATACTTGAATAAATCATTTAGTTTATTCATCATTATTATATACTTAATTAGAATGCATATAATACTATCTATTCAATTTTTTTTTAATACTTCAGGAATTATTCATTTACTATATTTGTTTATTTATTTTGACTTTATAAATGTCTTATTTTATATCTATAACTTGTTTTGCTTATTTATATAAATACATTCTGCCTTGCAGGTGATAATTAGAAAAAATGGGAAAATAAAACTGTACTCCAAAGGTGCTGATTCTGTGATATTTGAGAGATTAGGACCTTCTTCAAATGATCTGAAGATCAAAACTTCTGATCATTTAAATGTATGAATCTTTATCTATATTTATATTCTTATATAATGTGCTATATGGGCTCATGTAATGGGCAAAAGATAAGAGTTAAACATAAATATTTTTTTTAAAAGTTATTTACTTTATCCCATTTATATTTAATGCTTAACTTTTCTATTTTCAATACTTTATATTTCACAATAAAAGACAAATGGATTTTTTTTCTTCAGAAAACTTTAAAAATCAAAATCCTGTAAATCAGTAGCTGTATAGGTCCATCACTAGCAGTATGGGTTCCACAGTAACTGCTGTCATTAATCAGAAACTGCATGTAATCATCAGTTGTAGGGGTCTATCAATAATTGTAGGGATTCATCAATAGTTGCATGTGTCCATCAATAGCTGTGTAGATTTATCATTACCTGCTATCATCCATAACCAACTGTGTTGATGGCAACAAAGACAATTTTGTGTGTAAGAAATTCATGAGTTTTAACTTTTAAAATGATAATGACATTTATTTAGACATCTCAATGTGTAAAAGAGAATTTTTTTAATTCGATAGTGAAAGATATTATTTCCCTTTTTTTTTATGAATGTGTTATTCATAAAAAAACTTGACCTAATAAGTATAGAAGCCAACCCTCCAAATTAAAAAAAAAAAAAAACTCTTCGATTATGCATGGTAATAAATCTATATGAAATGTTCTTTTCTTTTAGAAATTTGCTAGTGAAGGACTGAGGACGTTGTGCCTAGCATCGAAAGATCTCGATGAAAATGTGTTCAATAACTGGAACGAGAGATTTCACGAGGCTTCGTAAGTTTTTAATACTTATCTTTTTTATAAATTGTCCTAACAATTCATGGTTTGTGGCGTTTTTAAAAAGCGCTTAAGGGTGCTTATTTTCGTTTTTTAAAATCCCTTAAAGGTGGTTTTTTCAATGGGTGTTTATAAAAAAGTGCTTAATTTTCTCTTTTTGAATATGAGATTTTTTTTCTTTACCGTGTCAATTTTCACCGTGTATTATGCAAAAGCGTGCTTTTCACATTGTTCTATTCAATGTTTTCACAGTTCAAACACATTCTATTTCTACATATGATCGGTTCATAGCGTATGAAAGCTCCAATCATTTTACATGTTTGATGAAATACTTGCGAGTCCACGTGTGCATCAACTGAGCTGAGTTAGAGAGATTCTAGCACTCTCATGTGCAACTCTGCTGCATTTTGCAAGATATTCTCAATTTCAGGCTTCATTTTACACTCTCTGATATCGAACTGAAAAATCTTTCGATCTTTTTATAATGGCTAATATAATGAAGAAAAGAGTTATTTGTCAGAAACTAGTTATTTTATTATGATCATGTAAAATCTGAAATTTATTTAGCATTTTGTTAATGTATGATGTATGCATTATTCACTTGAAGCATTGCCATGGAGCATAGGGAAGAGAGAATGAATGCCCTGTATGAAGATTTGGAGCAGAATTTAACACTGGTTGGTGCCACTGCTATTGAAGACAAACTACAGGACGGGGTTCCCCAATGCATTGCCAATCTTGGAATGGCTGGCATCAAAGTGTGGGTTTTGACTGGTGATAAACAAGGTTTGTATTTTATATACTACTTCTTTGTTCACTCAACTAGTTTTCGTGTGAGAACTAGTTATCTTAAAATCCGAACTTAATTTTTTTTTTCCCCTGTTAGATTTTTAAAAAAATCAAATGATTCTTGACAACTATTTTTTTATAATATGTGTACTTGGTATCAGCTATTCATTGAAAAATACTTTCAGTTTAACTGTTAACACTATCCACCTAACTGTCAACACTATTTGGGTACAGAAAAAGAGGATATTCTTTATTTGCCCGTACACTGTTCGAGCAGTACAATTTTGCCCCTCCCTCGTTCGTATTGTTTTCAATTTGTCCTGCACCAAGTATTATGGTAGAGGGTATTCACCCACTTCAGAGAGATGGATCTGCATAAGTTCAGTAACAAGTAGGTTTTTACGAGATATGTTTGTTAGCCCTATGCTTAACACCCAACCTGGGGAGCAAGGGTCTTAGACTGTTGTCTCTCCACTGACCTGTCTGGCTTGGGAGATCTTACCAGTAGCTACTCTACCGCTGGCATAGTTCAGTTGGTCAGTGTATTTTCTTACACCAATCCATTAGAATTCACATTTTTTACTTTGCAAGGTTTCTAATGGATGTCACTAGTAATCCAGGAAAAATCTTATTGTAAAACAATTTCAAGGACAAATAATTTAATATTCCTTGGGTGGTCCGGTACCAATTGACCCATGGACCAAGGTTGAGGACCATTGTGTTGGAATACAAAATTATATAACACAATATTATTGAGCCTGTGGTGGTGATGACTGGTCGTGGTCGATACAAATCCCCCCTCCTGCTGGCATAAAATACCTTCAATGATCATGGGTAGATGATAGACGGATCATTGGTTAGTCACCTTGAGATCAAGCTAACCCTGGGTGGCTTTCGTATTTTCTTGCAACGCTAATGCAGGTTAGTTCCATTAAAAACTCCGCCACAAAGAAAAATTTTTCCCAATACTTGATCCAAGATTTCCCTTGCCTTCTGGGTGGAGTTCAAAGCTATAAGGCTACAGAGTAGAACGTTGGTAGTCGTAAAACCCAAAATCGGGTCGGCTGTTCAACTACAGTTATAAAATAAAGTACAATATTCTTCTTTTTTTCGTCACAATATGGTATGAAAATGAAACAGTTATGTGATTAAGAATAAACTACACAAATGTAAAAATTTATGACTTGAATAAGTCAAACAATAGAGCTTTTACAAGTTCAGATTATATAACATATTTAATCCACTTTTCACTTTATACAGAGGAATTTTAAGTTTAATATTTACATAGCTTGATCTCATTATTTTTTGTAATGCATCGTTACTAATCTTTTCAACAGCCATGCTAGCCCTAATTTCTGGCTAAATCTCAATAGTGCCAGTTATAAAATTTTAACTCACTAATTTTTTTTTTTTTTTTTTTTTTTTTTGCTCTTTATTTTTGAAAAAAAAAATTATTTTGTATTTCTGGTAAAAACTTTTGGTTATAGAGAAAAGAAGAAAAATTTCAAAAGCAGGTTTTTTTTATTTCTTTGAGATACTATTAAAAAAGTGAAGTACTGAGATAGGGATGTCTAACTTTAATTTGTTTTTAAATATACACAATGATATTTAGATGAATTATTATTAATTTCTTCCAAAATAATGTATGTTAATTAAATGTAAAAAAAAAAATTTTCACTTAAGTTTTTAAATAACTTATGCTACTTGTTGTATGGAGTGATATATAACAAAAGCTATTTATATACGTAATTCTGAAATTATTTAGGTAATAGAGAGTATTTTTATAATTAAAAATAATTAACCTTTCAGAATATAATCTATTTAATATAATGTATTCTATACAATACACATTTTTGTTTATTTTATATCAATTTTGTGTATAGTAATTCTAATGACTCTTTTTAGAAACTGCTATCAACATTGGATATTCGTGTCAACTGTTGACTGATGAATTGATTGACATATTGATAGTTGATGGTATGAATTATAGTGAAGTAGAACAACAGCTAACCAAATATCTGGAAATGATCCGAAGCCAGTACAGGGGCACAACAGATAGCCTAATCCATCCTTACTTGGATGACCTAAATTCCCTATCTGAAAATGCTGAAGGCCAAGGTTATGCCTTAGTAGCCAATGGCCATAGTTTGGTTTGTAAAATTTGATTTTTTGTACTGTCTCTGCAAATTTTTCTAATAAATCAAGTTAATGGGAGCATTAATAGTTACTATTGGTTACTAGGGGCATAGTGTTACTATTTTAAGCTGATATGTGAGTTCAACATTTAAGACTTTGTTTAAAATTTATCATTATTAATTTATTTTTTAATAATGATAAATCCTAAATCAAGAAGTGCTCAAAGCTGGGACATAAAACACTCAACAAATTTCTGTTTCTCTGCAAGCACCGAATCATTTATACCCTCATATCTGCAGAAATGTCTTTATTAAAGTCTGGATGAAAATTTTATAAGGTTTTAATAGTTTTATATTAATTATGTGAGTATCTAGACACAAAATGATAGTTAACTAACTTAGGTTCTTTTTTTGCAATTATAGAGGATAAAATATAATTGTTTATCAATTATTAAAAATAGTAATTTGATTAATTAAGAATGCTTTAACTGTATCTGGAAAAAACTAATTTTGCAGATCATTTTATATTAGTTTGAGCCAGATTTTGAAATATTTGACTATACAACTCCTTATTCTTTGTGATTTCATCTAGTTATATATCTAGTTATATTTACTAAGAAAATTCATTTTTAGGTGTTGTACATTTCATTTGTGAAGATACAAATTTATAATTTTGATTTGAAGCCCAAAAGAACTATATCACCTGATTGTCTTGTTTGTTGTTCAGATTGTATTTATCCCTCATTCTATTAAATAAAATATGAAGTAATAATAACTAAAATAATTTGGAAGTAGTTTTTGTAGTCATTACTATGCAGTCACTAACAATTGTATTCATTCATTTTTTTAGTCATTTATTTTATAATTAAATGTTATTTGGTTCATAATTTAGGACATTTGGTAATGACTGATAAAATGTATAGTTAAAATTAATTTTAATATGTTAAACAATAGAACTAGTTACAAAATATATATTTATTTTAAGGCTGTTGGTGAATTTTTTTATGTAAAGGCAGTCATGATTTTGAAATAATTCGTACTATAAGAATTTTTTATAACAATAGTATAAAAGTTAATGCACTAATTATTTTGTAGTTAACTTATTTTCCCTTGTCTGAAATAAATATATCAGTTAATTAATAAAAGGTTGATGTTTAATTGGTTATTATAAAGTTTGAGTCTTTCACTTGTCTTGATATCAGTCAATAATTAATAAGATACTATTTGGACAATAACTTGCTTGTTCCTGCCATGTAATATAGTATTTAAAGTATATTTGTGTTAAGAATGTGTGTAAAATGCAATGTTGTTTCATTTAACTGTAATCAAATGTATTTTTGCGGCATTTCTGATGTTTTCGCTAATGTTTTAATACCTTTCCAGGTGTACGCTTTACAACCGTCAATGGAGAGCCTGTTTGTGGATGTTTCATCTGGCTGCAAATCTGTCATTTGTTGTCGAGTGACTCCCTTGCAGAAAGCATTGGTTGTTGATTTAATGAAGAGGCACAAAAATGCTGTCACCTTAGCTATAGGGGATGGTGCAAATGATGTCAGCATGATCAAAAGTATGAACTAATAATTGATTCTTAATGATAGCATGTTATTAAATATACTCTAACCACTGGGTCGTGGTAGCACAATGATTTAGAGCATCAAAATTCAGTCCTGGGGTTTGATTCTCAAGGCTGCGTGCAATATTGGTGTGATTATTGATTGGTCTAGATTACGTGCAATATTGGTGTGGTTTGTTTGCTGAGTAGTTTCACAAGGATCTACAGAAGGTTTTCTTCTCCTTTAGATCTATGTCTATATTGTGTAAGTAGTCTCACAAATGAGTGGTGCTGCTATCTTTCCTATATCATAGTTGCCAACTCTACTCGATTTTCGTCTGTAGACTACTGGATTTTGCCTGTTTCTCCTAGTCTACTGGTTTAATAATTCCCCTAATTTTTGTATATTTTAGAAAAATCCTTATTGAAATATCATTTTTGCACAAATTATTGCTTACTTGAATATTTAAATATGAATTACTAAAGCATATTGAAGCTAGTCTCATTGATAGAAATCTGTTTAAAACTTTTTTGTTCTAAAATGTTCGGTTTATTTTTTTCAGAGCTCTCTTTATTTAAAAAGCGATCTTTTAACTATCTTCAAAAATCTTTTAACTATCTATGATGAATTAAAGCTTATAACTATTCAAAATTATGAATATATTTAATACATAGCATTTTAAACTCCTTTTAATGGCAATCATAACTGGAAAATATTGCAGTTTTTCTATTTTGATGACTTCAAAATTCCCTAGGTGTAAAATGTTTACATTATGCAGCAATTATAGTGAAATTTATATTACGTAAAATCTACTGGAATTTTTCATATCTATGTTGGCATCTATGCTATATTCTCTTTTCAAGTTAATTCTATGACTTAATTCATAAGTGCAAGCTTTGTTTTTCCCAGGAGTGTCATTACAAACCTCAAAAACCATTAAATTATATTTGCATTTCTTGCAAAGCATAGCAAAAATATCTACTATCTGATCATGACATTTGTGCACTTTCATATGAGCTGATTGTGTATAATATGATAGAAGATGAATAAAATTGAATGAAAATTTTTAATTTTTGCCCATTAGTTTTTCTCAGCCCTTTACAAGGCTGTGGTAAGTATACTTAACACCAACTTCAATCATTTTTAGTTGTTGATGGGAAGCTGTTTTTTCACCTATGGTTTGTACTGCATCAGAAATTTTTTTTAAAAAATTCACCAATGACGAGCTTTATTTATATAAAAATGAGTATGGGGTCAAGAAAAGCAGCAAACACTGGAGAGCTATTTCTCTTTTGAGTTATGCTTTCATTCGAACATTTATCTTTGAACAGGGGTGTCCTTCCCCCTAAAATTCCTAAATTTTTTCACAGTCCCTAAAATTCCTAATAGTCTACTCAAATTTTGCTGAAGTTTTTTGTAAAATACCAATTAAATTGCACCTACCGTATATTCCGGCGTATAACACGCACTTTTAATACAAAAAATAACATTGGAATTTACGGGTGCGCGGTATACGCCGAATATAAAAAATTATAGATTAAAAAAATTTAAATACTGTAGAAAAATACTTTTATTTTAAAGAAATAACATACCTTTACCTAGATACTTTATTGATTTTCGTTATTACATAAATAGTTCATTATATTCGTCTTCCGTTATTTCTTCAGGCACGTCATTACAATCTGTTTACTCTTCATCATCTGTGTTACCCTTATCCATAAATAAACAGCCATCTTCTGATCCGACCAGATTATTTGAAATACTGCATTTTTTTAATGATTTTCTAACCATCTTAGGCTTAATTTCATCCCATGCTTTTAATATCCATTCGCACACTGTTTCCAAACTTGCATGACACATATGTCCTCCTTTCGTAAAGGTTTTCTCGCCCTCCAACATCCAAGTGTTCCACTGTCTTTTTAAATTGGCTTTAAATGGTTTGTTTAAGCATACGTCCAATGGCTGAACTAATAGTGTCATTCCGCCCGGAATAACTGCCATATCGGTATTACATTCTTTCAACAATTTTTTTGTATTATCTGTAAGGTGGGACCTAAACATGTCCCACACTAAAAGGCTTTCTGGTTATCTATTGATACTAGACGAGATATTGCACATGTACAATCCAAATTTTCGTGCGCGTTATACGAAGAGTATATCTTAAAATTTAAAGAAAGTTATTAGAAATTATGGATGCGCGTTATGCACCGGAATATACGGTACTTGAATAATTTCATGTCTAAATCAAGGCTGCACAAGTTCAAACTAGCGGTCTACTTAAGTAGATATAGATATTAACGTTGTGCTTTTTAGACTTAAAGAAGTTAAGTTCTATTTGAGTTCTTGTTTAACCAAAACATTGTCGATGAAATCTGGGATACAAAATTTAGAATCTGAAATAAACTGTCTTTGAAACTAAAAAATAAAAAATTTTGAAAATTAAATGTTCTATTTTTTTAATCTAACAAAATCTTAAATTACTCTTAAAATTTCACTAAAACTTAAGGAGAATGTTCGTAAAATACCCTAAAATTTAAAAAAAGAACTGAATTCTGTTGCAACCCCTGTTTGAGTTCATTTGCAGTTATAAACACAGAATTCACAAATTCCGTTATTTCTAAGCACAGAAGTTCAAACTTATGGCAAATTGTTTACAATAGAATGAGAATTTGGACAAGAAATAATAAAGTTTTTAAAAAATCAAGTTAATTTTAGGTACTAATTTAAATAAATTTTTTATAATAAATCAATCTTAATCTTTCAAATATTTTATAACATGACTAAAAACGTATGGACTGATAAAGGGTTAAATCTCTTGCAATGCTCTGCGGAAGTGCCTATACAATATAAACATGTTTTTATATTACAGGGTGCGTAGCATTTTTAAAAAGTGCTTAAAGGTGCTTATTTTCAATTTTCGTTTTTTAAAAGCCCTTAAATGTGCTTTTTTCATGGGTGTTTTTAAAAAGTGCTTAATTTTCCATTTTTCAAAGTGAAATTTTTCCTTTACCATGTTGATTTTTGCTACGAATAATTCAAAAAGCCACAGTTCACATTGTTCTATTCAACGTTTTCACAATTAATTCAACCCCAATCTATTTCGGGGTATTGTCAGTCCGTAGCCATTCTTTTTACCCTGTAGCCATTCATTAGATTTACGTGATTACGACATTAGTTTTACGTGATTCAAAACTTCATGATTTTTGACGCAATTGTGAAAAATAATGCCAAAAGTTTTTTTTCCTTTTGGCATGATGGTTAAAACACGATAAAATCGCCAATTGTCAAAAAATTTCCAGCCCTGTCTGGTTATGATATTTTTTTAAAGTACTTAAAAATATTTTTTGAGTGCTTGAAAAGTGCTTAAAAGGTGCTTATTTTTTGTTTAATAATTTGACTACTCACCCTGTATTATCATGTCTAATTGTATAATATATCTGAGGACAATTTTGTAAAATTGATCATTTATAACTTGTTTAATTTCTTGGCAGTGGCACACATAGGAGTAGGCATCAGTGGTCAAGAAGGCATGCAAGCCGTCCTTGCGAGTGATTTTTCTCTCGCTCAGTTCAGGTACCTGGAGCGCCTTCTGCTTGTACACGGGCGCTGGTCATACTTCAGGATGGCCAAATTTTTACGCTATTTTTTCTACAAGAATTTTGCCTTTACGCTCTGCCATTTTTGGTTTGCTTTCTTCTGTGGATTCTCCGCCCAGGTTAGTATTTTAAATATTTGTATTAGAACATCTTATGATAAATACAGGGTGCTTCCTCCCACAAAAGGGCACTCACTTAACCTAAAAATTTATCAAATTATGTAACTTTATGTAATAATTAAGTTTTATCCTCAAAAATTTTTAAATTACCCTCTTGTACTATTTTATGTACATATTTCAAAAAGTAATTCTCACACCATTATCAAAACACGAAAAAAAATTTGTAGTTTATAAAAAAACAAAGGCATGCTAAAAAATAATCTGTGAGTATATATTTTTTTCAAATAAAAAACGTAAACTAATCAAAAATTAGTTACAAATAATAATTTAAACTGAAAATTATATATAAATGAACATTTAATGGTACATTTTTTTAAAAAAAAAGTTATATATTTAAATTCATTAATATATCCCCCACCCCTCCAAAAAGATACTTATATAAATTTAACCAGTTGAGAATAATCCTAACAAAGTATTTTTTATTTTTTGTAATCAGAATTAAACCTATTAACACAGAAAGTTTTATCAGTGTGTAATTATTATTTAAAGAGTTTTTTTTTTTAATGGAATATGAGTGAAAAGGCAGTATTTTTAAGGGACTTGTTTTTACAAAGAGGGTGCATTTATAGGGATCAAATGAGAGTATAGATTCTAAAGACGCTTAGGTAGAACATTGAAAATGATTAGCATAATAATTAATGGTTGAAGAGCTGTGATGTGGTTAGAGCATTCACCTTCCAATGAGGTGAACTGGGTTCGAATCCCGGTGATGACTGGTCGATAAAAATTTTGCATCCGGCTTGCACTGACCACAGTACTGACTTAAAATATCCTCAGTGGTAGAGGGATCAAGGATTAGAGTCCCCTTTCCTCCAGGCTAACCGTGGGAGGTTTTCCTTTCAGCGGTCAAAAAAACTATGTTATTTTTGTAGTTTACGACAACTGCTTTGTTACAAATGTTGTTAACTGCAACTACTACTTTTTAAATCTACAAACTACTCTGGAATTGTAGTAACTACTTCGCTACTTAAAGGAGATGAGCTTTCCTGGAGAATTTAAATTACACTTGTGTTTAAAATTGTTTTCAATAAGAAATTGGCTTTCATTAAATATGAGGGAATAATTAAGAAATATTTATTCATGTTTACATGAGCCAGTTTGTTATTACAAAACTACTTTTTGTTTGCTTTTTTTTGTATCACACTACACTACTTTTTTAATAAAATAGCACACTACACTTCTAACTACAAAAAAAGTAACAATTACAGTAGTTTCACTACTTATACTGTGCTACTTCCAACTGCTGAAAAAAACTATTTCTAATTCAGCTACTAATTATGCATAAACTTTTTTTTTAATGGTAAGGTTTTTAATTTTCATGCATATCTTTAAAATAGAGATCATTTTTATTAAATACATACTTTTGGTAAAAAAAAGTGCCCCATAAATTGCAAAGTCTTAAGAACACATATTTTCTTAATTCTGGGGGGATCACTATTAGCTATTATATTGAGCAACTTTCTTTCAGTAAATATGTGGATTCTTTATTATTTTCATTTACAAATATATTTTGCTTATTTCTTTTGCAGACTCTTTACGATCCAGTTTTCATTTCATTTTACAATGTGTTTTATACTTCACTGCCTGTCCTAGCACTTGGTGTTTTTGACCAGGTCAGTATTAGTTTTAAAAAATGTCTCATTTTTATTTGTTTATTTTTATCTATTAGGGAATGCATATAAGAATGACCTTTTTCAGCCTAAATATTCTTTTCTTTTTTTTTTTAATTTTGTGATTACGTAAGTTGAAATTAAAATATAAAAAAGCACTTTTTTTGTATAATTTTTTCCTCAGTGTTTAAGTTTGTTTCAATTACTTAATATTAAAAAAAAATAGTATTCAAGAATTATTGTACATCAATATAGCTGTTAGCAAACAGTCTCTAAATAGGCTTGTTATTGTTAAAGGACGATGCTAAAATTGCAAAAAAAAACTTTCTGATAATTCAAAAGTTATTGTGCTGTTATTTTAATTTCAGCTTAACCAACTGACAGTTTTGACATTTTCATTTTTACTACTTTAAAATGTTTGTACTTTTTTTATACAACTATATCAGTCTAATTCCCCTCCCCACCTCTAATTTGAAAACTGTGGTATGAAGGGTCATTTTTTTCTTATCTAATTCCAGATAAATGGGCATTTTGAATGAAGTTTTATGTGTGCACAACCTTTTGGAAAAATTAAAAAAAAGAATAACTCTGGACATGGGATAACCTCCAGGGGTTAAAATGTTTTTTTACAAGATTGATAGTCTAAATTTGTATTGTTTGCTGTAAACTAATTATTCTTTTTCTTTATAAATGAATTAAAGCTATGTATAAGTTTAAGTACTACCCTATAATCTCTAAAACCAACCGTTCATTTGTTTTTCTATGTAGGTTGATTGATATTATGTATAGAATTAAACATTAAAATACTTGTTTAAAGGTTCGATATTTTTATTTTTTGTATAGGCAATTTAAATTCATATATAGAATGGATAGTTTTGAATATTTTCCAACTATTTTCTATTAAAAATAATTGCTTGTTTATTTCCCTTCTTATGTGAATTAAATTTATGTATTGGAATAATAGTTCAAACACTAAAATAAATAATCTCAAGAAACTAAAATTTAGTTAACTCTAAATTACTCTGAATTCTCCAGTCTTTACACATCTTTATTTTTGCATTTTATCCAGAGAATATATATTCTTTAGAATCTCCTTTCAAAAATAAGTATTTTTACTTCATTCTGAGTGGTAGTTCTAGTTTTTTGTTGCATATGTGACACTAGGTATAATTATTCTTTTATGTATAGTAAAACAATAATTAGACCTATTGTCATTACATTTATTAGTTTCAAAAAAATATGATAGTAATAAAAGTTTTGCATATTCCTTGCACTCAAAAATAGATGCCCATATAGATGTGAATGTTAATATTTTTGTAACATTTTTTTTTGATTTTGTAAAACAAATGAAGTTTTTATGTTATAAAATTTAAATACTTGTTTTTCAAAAAGTTGTTTATTTCTGTTTGTTTTCAGGATGTGAGTGATAAGAACTCCATCCGTTATCCGAAGCTTTATACCCCCGGCCTAATGAACCTTCTCTTCAACAAGATGATCTTCCTTAAATCTGTGGCCCATGGCCTTCTCACTTCCTTTATTCTTTTCTTCATCCCCTATGGAGCCTTCAGCTATGCCATCGACCCTAATGGCCTCAGCATAGATGACCACCAGCTGTTTGGGACCACCGTATCCACCATACTCGTCCTTGTTGTTACTGTACAGGTAATTTCACTTTCTTATCTGTTGCAGAATTATTGTATGCATAAAATAGGGTTTTTTTAAAAAAATATTATGAATAATGTTTTTATGTTTAAAAAAAATTATAGTTGTGTTATTTTTACCGAAAGTATTTAACTGTCTCTTGAATTTGCAATAAAAATGCCCAATTGCCATCCTTAATTGTTCCAAAACCAATGAAAATTATTACTTCAAAAACCACACACTCAATCACATAATAGAAATTATTTTAATTAATTAAGTTACTTTAATTAGTTAGTTATAATTTTAGTGAATTATTTTTAGTGTATTTCACTTCACATTCATGAGTTGACAAAGTTCTTTTCAAATTTCTTTCACTGAATAGTTTTCTTTATTCTTAAAAAGAATTTTATAAGGTCAAAACTATGAAATAATTAATTAAAAATATTTTTTTAAATTTATTTATCAAATTACACCCTTACTTTACTAACGAGCTTCAACTCATACAGTTAGAAGTGTTAATGAATTCACAAATATTTGGTTTTAAAATTTTAAAAATTTGCATAAAAGACATACTAGTCTTCCCTAACAATAAATTTTATAGTTATAAATAACTTACTAATTTCATGATTACTTAGTTGTAACAAATATGTCAATTTTGATTTGTACTTATGTTTTATCTTGTAGTTTATTTAACAAACTCTCTTCCTCCTTAGAATTTTTTTTTGTTCCTTTTTATCTAAAAAGTATTTTAACATAACAAATATTTTATAACATATGTTATATAGTACTAATAATATATAGTATTATAACGATGCATAAATGTAGTATATATACTACATTTATGTATACAAGGTGACATGAAATTTTTGCATTGAGCCTGTGGACAAAACTATACAATCAAATTCTAGTATGCACGGTTTTCTTGAATAAACATTGAAAAGATTGGATTTTATTTTTGCAATAAAAATAGCTTAAAATTTGAAAGAGAAAAACTTATACGTTTTGAGCTAAACACAAAAAGAATTCAAGCAAGCCTACTACCGAGTACAGAAAGCCTGTCAATTATTAACTTCAATTGACTCAATATCTTAAACAATATATAAGCATTTTATATCTTTATTTTTCTGATTAAACTCATTTAAATATTCTGTCTCTGTTATCTTCCAAAAATGAGATTTCATACATAAAGCTGAACCAATTAATAGGATTTAGAAAACACACTAATGTTGTATTTTTTACATTTATAATATAATTATCACATTTATTATAGTTGCTTTTCGTTTTCTAGATTGCAATTGACACAGCATATTGGACTAATTTCAACCATGTCGTAATATGGGGCAGTGCACTCTTTTACCTTGGCATGACCATTCTCATCAACATGAACTTTTTTGGTAACCCCTATGTAGGGACATTCCGCATGACCTTAAGTACTGCACACTTTTGGTTCACCCTCTTCCTCACCATCGCCATTTTGGTTGTCCCCATTGTAGCCATACGATTCTACTACGTGGACACGCATCCCACTCTGTCGGACAGGGTGAGAATGAGGCAGAGACTGTCCGACCTCAGGACGAGACCCTCGGAACCGACGCTCAGGATATCGAGCGTCAGGCGTAGCAGTAGGCGCTCTGTTAGGTCAGGGTACGCCTTCGCTCACCAAGAAGGCTTTGGTCGCCTCATCATGAGCGGCAAAATTATGAAGAAAAGCAAATCCAGCAATTTAACCAATAATCTGCATTCAACGCCGAAGCATCAGAACCACTGGAACCACAAAACAAACAATGTGAGGGAAAAAGGAAGCCCATCAACTGTCGAAGTGTGAATTTGTGCTTGGCGACAGTTTCTTTTACCTTTTTTTATAAACTTCTTTTTTTAATAAATATCACATTTTTATTATGAGACAAGAAGATCAACTTGTGACAATCTTGGCATTGTAGTTGTTGAATTTGAAAGCGGTTTTCCATATTGTATGAAATAACCCCATTGGCAAGATCAAAATATAAGATCCTTATACGAAAAAAAATACTATGTGATCAATTCTGAGATCATTCGGTGCACCTGTTGAATTTCAGTTCATTTTGAAGGTTATAATTCAGTTATAATTAATAACATATTTGAAACGGCCTTTTTTTAAAATTTGGTTCTGTATTGAATTTTTGCATTTTCAAGTTTGAAGTAATGTTTTGATGGAGGAAATGGCACTGATGCTTGATGAAATGTTTGAAAGAGGTTTTTATAGTTTTTTGACGAATACTGGAATGCAAGGAGAGAATTGCCAAGCTGTAAGATGGCGCCAAAACAGGCATTCAAATTTGTCGAGCTCGGTTTTAAAAATATTTCTTGACCAAAGTTAAATATTGATGGTAATGTGGTATCCAGAGCTTTGTGCCATGTTTTTATGTCATTTTGATGGAATCCTATTTAATATTACTCTCAATATTAAATGCCTTTGAATATTTTTATTATACCTTACAAAGCTACAATTGCGGTAGTACTATATCGAGCAAATATCAGTACCGTTTCTACAGTATTCCAATTTTCCGCCAAGAATTTATGTAAATTTTTATGTAAAATACACGTTTGTATTTCCAGAATTTCATGAGACGTTTTTTTTTTTTCTTTTCTTCCTTCCCTTCCTTTCAGCCTATTTTGCTAAATGTCTTCAATGTTTCATTGTATATTCAGTTCATCGTACCATCATGCTACAAAGTCTTTTTATGTTTTTTACCTCATTCTTATAAAATAAACAAAAAAATATTGCATAGGTTTGAATTCTATGCCATATTGTATAGGATAACTTTTATGAAAGAATTGCTTTTTGATGCACAATTTATTTTATTTAAAAAAATGAATAATTAAGAGAGGAAAAAATGTACATATAAAATAATTGTTACATATTTGTGTATTTCACTGAAATGCAAGTTTACCTGAAATGTATAAAAGAAATTTGAGAATAAATTTTATCGTTGCAAAATGAAAATTACCAAAAAAGAGAGAGAAGACAAATGTTTGATATTCTTGGATTTCATATCGATTATTTTAAATGAAGGTTTTGTGTAAATATTTGTGAGAAATACTATTAAAATGTTGTCAATAAATGTGAGTTTTTATTTTAAATATAGTTAGTTGATTGATAGACATGAGTATCACATGAATATGTTAATGTTTCTTATAGAAGCTGAGAAAAGGTTTTAAAAAAAATGAATTGATGCTATGATGTTTGGGAGAAATAATGAACAAATTAATAAATCAGATTTAGTCTAAATTTTTATACTTTCTAGACTGTTCAAAAGTAGACATAAGTTTGGCCACAAATGTTAGGCAGCCTTGTTTATTTCTGCAGATAATAATGCACGGCAGACTAAAGCTGACATGCATTGTTATCAGTGGTTCTTATTGGCTCAGATAAAATTGCCCGTTTTCTATTCTTATGGAATTGGATTTGAGAATATCCTATTTTTTCATAATATGTTAAATGATATTTATTTTTTCATCAACCAGGTAAGCATCTGCAACAAAAAGCTGATGTTTAGGCTATTATTGGTGAAGTGTTACGGCTATTTTTGCCATGATTTTACCAGAGCTCATTCTAGGCAGGGTAAACAGGGCGCAGCACCCTGCTGCCCTTTTAGTCAAAAAGAATCCACCCTGTTGCCCCTGAAGTAAATTAGTGCCCAGATAGACTCCATACCCTTTCTTTCCTTAACCCTTCTTTATTTTTTCCCCAAACTCTACAATGGATTTCTTAAGCTTTTGTTATTTTCAACTCTTTTTATTTAGTTTGCATTGCTGTCAATACATAGATTTATATGGGAAAGGAAAAATAGCCATCACACCCCCTTGTTGCACTTGTCTTCGAAAGTTTGCAGTTACTTCCACTATCATTAAATCATAATTATTATTAATAATTTTAATTATTAAATCATAACTACAGACACTTAAAAACATACATTTATTATTTTATTAATATATGCATGCATTTTAAATAAATTACTAAGCAAATTAGCTCATTAACTCGATATACATGTTAATTTATTAATGAAAATTAGTAATTAATATGATTGCTTTGCTACTTTTAGTAGGTAAAGTTAAAAAAAAATTCTTTTACTAATTAACAATGTGTTTTAATAGAACGTGCAAAGCCCATAGAAAGAAATTATTGCCTTTTTAAAATAATAATGCCCTTTTTTCAAACTTTTGCACCCTGCCCTTTTTTCTGCCTAGAATGAGCTCTGATTTTACTTACAATTATTTATACCTAATGTCTTAAGACAAATTCACGACTGAATGTGAAAAAAATATCCATTATTGTATTTTAGTATACAATAATGGATAGAAATATGGATAACAAATATATATACTATATTATCTATTACAGTTAAATCTTTATCAATCATTTCTCATGGGACCATTTATTCCAAAGGATAGATAGAAGAAAACTATTGTCATGCCTCCTTGTTGCGATGGCGCTGTCAGCAAATGTAAATGTTGTAAAAAAAGATCGGGAGTTCGCACGTAGCGGCTGGAAAGAACGTCTTTCCTTTCCAGCCGCTATGTGCGAACTCCCGATCTTTTTTTACAACATTTACATTTGCTGACAGCGCCATCGCAAANTTCCAAAGGATAGATAGAAGACAACTATAAATGTGGGTCATCATGAAATGTCGAGTAATGACTTGAGAATATGAGAAAAAGTAATGAGTTGGAAAATCAATAAATTTACAATAGATATAAAAAAGTCAAATTGTAAAAAATTATAAATTTTATACAGAAATAATCACTATGAGAAAGAAAAATGAATTAAACATATCTGCTAACTCTCTGGTTTTTCCCAGTTTCTCCTGGTCCACTGGTTTTATAAAAGTTGTTCTGGTTTTTGTATATTTTAGAAAATTCCCTAAAATTGAATAAGTTTCCTGAAACAGGGTGCGTAACGTTTTTAAAAAGTGCTTATTTCCGATTTTCGTTTCTTAAAAGCCCTTAAAGGTGCTTTTTTTCATAGGGTGTTTTTAAAAAGTGCTCAATTTTTCCTTTACCGTGTTGATTTTCTCCACGGATTATGCAAAAAGACATTTCCCTATTCAAAATTTTTACATTTAATACAACCTCATTCTATTTCAGCTTACCATCGGTCCGTAACGTATGAAAACTCCATTCGTTTTTACTTGATTCAAAATTTCATGATTTTTGACAACTGTCAAAAACTAAGCCAAAAGTTTTTTTTTGGCATGACGGTTAGAACCGCCAATAGTCAAAAACTTGCCAACCCTGCCTAATTATATTTTTTCTAAAATGCTTGAAAGTTGCTTATTTTTTGTTGAAAAATTTGGCTACACACCCTGTTAAATTCCTATTGAAATAGAATTTTTGCGTTGATTATTACTTGCTTGAATATTTAAATAAACGTTTCTAATACATAATGAAGCTAGCCTCATATTTCGTAAAATAAGCTGGATTTCTCCCTATCAATGTTGAAAGCTATGAATAAAAACTGATTTTTTTGGTAATTTTGGTTTGCTCACTCTTTTTGTTCTCACCTTGAACAATGATTTTTCTAACTTAATTTTCTATAAGTTTGAGTTAATAAAAAAGTTTCTCAGGCCCTATCACAAATGTTGGAATCTTGTCTGTTGGATATCACTTCTTCTGCAAACATGTTTCGTTTGAAGGAATTTAATTGCTACTAGGAATTTAGCCCCTACTAACTAGTTTTTCTTGTAGCTATCAGATTTGAAAAAAAATCTTTTCTAACTGTAGAAACCTAAATTTACCAGACTAAGCGCAAAGCATGCTTTAACTAAATGTGAAAAACACTGGACTTTAATTTTATTATCTTATTTGTTTAAAATGCAAATTACATGCTTTCATAATTAAAGTACGGTTTTTTAAAAAAAATATATATATATATATGAATATTCTATTTGTACAGTTTATTTCGTTGAAAGGTGATGAAATGGTGTAATTTTTTGTTTGTATCTTCTCCGCTGATAAATTTAAAAAATTTTTAAATGCCTAAAATAGCACACCTTTCCCTTTAAGAAATATAAATTAAAATGCTTTGTCCAACATTGTTTGATAAACCACACGTTTTTCAAAGGCTTCATTTTTAAACCTGATTCTCAGTAATATTTCCATACAGATACTTTACAAGCATTCGAAATTCGTATATGATTACAGCACAATAAACAAAAACATCTTATTACCTACATCGAAATCTTTACGAAAAACTGTACTGAAATTTAAAAATGAAGCATATTGTATTGCAGTCCTTCAATTATATTATTAATTCAATGTAATTTACCTGAGCAGTTTTTTTAAGCATACTATCATATTTTATTTAATAACCATCGTTGAACAGCCGCCGACCCAATTTTTTTGGGTTTACAACTACTAATGTTCACCTCCGTAGCCTTGTAATGATGAACCCAATCCAGAAGACAAGGGAACTCCTGGGTCAAATATCGGGAGTAATTCGCCTTTGTGAAAGACTTTTTGATGGAACCAACCCACAACTGCGTTACGGGGAGAGGAAAACCTCTCGCGGTTAAACTGACGGTAAGGAGACTCGAACTCGTGATCCGTCTACCCCTGAGGATATTTTACGTCAGTGCTTTGCGGGATGTGGAATTCGTATCGACCAGCCGTCGTTGGGATTTGAACCCGGTTCACCTCATTGGAAGGCGAAGCGAACACTCTACAGGGTGCGTAGCGTTTGTAAAAAGTACATAAAAGTGCTTTTTTGGGGATTTCGTTTTTAAAAGCTTTTAAAGGTGCTTGTTTCAGCTGGCGTTTTTAAAAAGTGCTTTTTTTCCGAAATTTTTCTTCTTCTCCCTTCAGTGATATCTGGTGGATCCCATGACTNCAATGGTGTAATTTTTTGTTTCTTCTCCCCTGATAAATTTAAAAATTTTTAAATGCCTAAAAAAGCACACCTTTCCCTTTAAGAAATATAAATTAAAATGCTTTGTCCAACATTGTTTGATTAACCACACGTTTTTCAAAGGCGTCATTTTTAAACCTGATTCTCAGTAATATTTCCATATAGATACTTTACAAGCATTCGTAAATGATTACCAACCCACAACTGCGTTACGTGGAGAGGAAAACCTCTCGCGGTTAAACTGACTGTAAGGAGACTCGAACTCGTGCTCCGTCTACCACTGAGGATATTTTACGGCAGTGCTAGCGGGATGTGGAATTCGTATTGACCAGCCATCGTTGGGATTTGAACCCGGTTCACCTCATTGGAAGGCGAAGCGAACACTCTATTCCCTGAGCCATCCTGGCTCTAGCATACCATCATTGCAGAATTTCAACCTCATTTATAAATTACATTTCATTTGTATTTAATCTGTCATTTTAAAAAAAAAATCACTTTCTACACTAGGCCACTTTATGTGCGCAAGTTATTTTGTCAATTTTCTTTTCCTACATACAAAACTTTCTTTTTTTTAGTTGTGTGCAAATTTTTTTAAATAACCTATGTTTTGTGACTTCTCAAAGTATGTTTATACACATCGAAATTTTCACTATAGTTTTATTTATACACAAATTTAATGAAAATTGCACTTCATATATATTAACAATACATAAATAAGGACTGCAGAAAATATGACAATATCAACACTTAATACATAAAGAATATAGCTTTTAAAGCTGTTTCTAATTTAAATGGTTACAAAAAGCACATTTTCTGCAAAACCCCTTATGAAAAAATAGAAAACAGCATAATACAGGCTTTATCACCAGACTTTGGTTTAATTGGCAATTAATAAGGCACTGACTAGAAACTCGGTGTAAAATTCTTCTTGGCTTAATTCTCATTCATACAATTTTATAAATCTCTTTTAACTGACCCAAAAAGACTATACCAACGTATTTATTTAGTTTTAAGCTGTAGATTTCAAACTCTATTCAATGAAGAAACATTATCAGCATTTCCTTGAAAAAACTTTTTTGAATGTTACTCATCATTGCACAGCAGCGAAAGTAACTTACGTTTTTTGTCAAAACAATATAAAGAAAGTAGCATAAAATTTTTGACAAAAATACTCAATGCGGAGACAGTACACATTGGAGGAAATAACTTACAATTTTTACCTAAATCACTCAATTAGGGAATGCACTGCAGAGCGAAAAAAAGCATCAAATTCTTAAACAATAAAAATTTTATATTTTCTTTTAAAACTGATCCTGTGAAGGTTTAGAAAAACAATTTTATAAATTCAAATTGGGATTAAAATTTTTTTCTTTAGTTTGAACTCATCTATAAGAACTGAGCGTTGTTCTGTGAAACCTTGACATTTCAAATATTAGTCTCGTGATGTATAGTGAATACCATATCTTACAACATCGAATATATCTACAACGATAATATCATGATTATTCGCATCGATCATTATTTAATTCTACGATATCGAAATCAATATTGACAATGATAGTTATAGAATAGCGTTATATCGAAAATTATATTCGATTCTAAATCATTATGCGGATAAGGGGTTAGTTGAAAAATTCAATTTGATAGACAAAAATATTGATCATAAAATTGTGAATCGGAAAAAAAATATTGCGGTTTATCGTGAAATATTAATATTTCCTTCAGTGAAATATGAATATTTTTTAACGATGTTTAGAGATATTAAACGCCCTGCAAAAGACAATACTGGAGTAAAGTGTTTAAGTAATATTTAGTTAAAAATATAACTTAAGTTCAAAATTGCTGTAATTTTAAGAATCTATAAAATTGATCTGTACTATTATATAAAATGGAAGTTTGATAAAGTTAAGTGTAAAATAATTACTTTACTCTGAAATCATTCATCCCAAGGAAAAGGATTAGAATTTTCATAATTTTCGCATCTTGAATATGTATTAATTTATAATTATGCAATAATTACAAATATGTTATAATTTCAAATTAAATACAAAATTAAGTAATAATTGCAAATTATGTAATAGTTTCAAATTAAATATTTCCTTTGAAATTTTTGCACCAATTTTTATCCTTAAAAAAACAAAATGGACTGTTTATTTTAACTTATAAATTGGTTAACATGGAGCATTGCAAATTGTATTAGTACTGCGAAATCTGTTCAGTTGATCTCGATAATCAAATACCAAATCGGTGAAAACAATCGAATAGCTCCTTACTAAGTTGACCACCTGTATTAAAATAACTACAAGTGATCAACTTACACAGTTTTCAAAGAACGTATCTTGAGTACAGGTTTTTTATACTACCTAAGAAAACTAAATTTCCTCAAGGTATTGTGTTCATAATATTTGCTCATGTAAGAAAATGAATTCTGAAACATGTTCTTGCATGTTAAAAGTCATTTCAGAACACTGACTTTGAAAAAAGTTCGCTTCGGAACACCGATTCAGAAGTTAGGAATAACAAGAGTTGATGGGGTACAAAAAATTCAGGTGCTATCATTTTGACTCTCTGAATCACTTTTTAGTTTGGCCAAGGTTCTCTCACATTCTTTCATAAGCAATTGGTATTCAGTTTTTGCCTCGCTCACTTCTGTTAAAGCCCTCTTGCACTCCGCATTAATCCTTTCTGCTTCCTGAAAACATAGGAAATAACATTTAAATTAATTACTTGTTATTAATAAATTAACGTCTGACTTCAAATTAGGAAATAAGTACCAATACGCTTAAATTAACCCCATATAGGGCCATTTTTTTAAAGCAATATTACGTTAAAATGTTTTTGAAATTGCTATTTACTTACACAAAGAATTACTTCAAGAATACCATACAACCAACGTTTGTACATAAATACATTGCATATACATATCTTCTTTGAAATTCACATTCATTTATATATTGATATATAACGTACAAACATTATTTATATCTGTATACATTTGTACTTTTGCATACGTGCATTGAAAAGTGCATATACATACGTACGTACATAAAAATATGTATGCACTTACTATATTTATAGTATGCTATCATACTTATTTGTATTCGCATATTTTGATTACATCTACTCACACATTTTTGATTACTTGTAATCGTAATTATCTTTAATCATTTCTCTTGATTACTTGCAATCACGATTACAGCTGTAATCAAAATTATAGTGTGTTCAGGGCTCGAAGAACCACCCGTCCGCCCGTTCTGGGTGGTCAAAAATTACCCGCGGACAACTAATTTCTCGAATCCGACGTCCGCGCGGACGGCCATTTCCCCGTTACTGTTGGTAATACATTTTCAATTTTTGTTATCTTACAAGAGTCTAGTGCCTCACTTCTAAAATGACCCTCTAATCTAGAAATACAGCAACTTACTGCGCATGGTGGAATTGATGTTGTCTCCCGCACTGCAGCGGTTGAAAGGGATTTTTCAGCAATGAACTTACAAAAAAAAAGCATTGCGTACTGCATTGCGTTAAACGCAATTATGAACATCTACCTAAATGGAAAACCCCTTTCAGATTAATTCATTCGTCATATTTAATTCATTTAAAAAACGCAGTACCCTCGGATAAATCGACATTCCAGATAACTTGACATTTGTCATTTAAATTATTTCATAAAAGAAATAAATTATTTTATAAAAGAAATACTAGGTTCCTATTAGTACCCTAGTATTCCTTTTATTACTGTATAATGCAATATCCTAGTATTTGTAATCCTAGTAACTACTAATTCATTGTGCAATTTATAAAAATGTTTGTATAAAAGAAAATTATATTTTTATTTATTTAGAAGCGACAGGATAGTTTCAAAGGAGGACGGGTACATTGTTGGACAAACCGGCCTCGGGGACGGGTAAAAGTTTTGAGTTTTTTCGAGCCCTGAGTGTGTTGTAATCGCGATTAGAAGTAATTGATTACTGTAATCGACTATTGCAATTACGACTACAGTTGTAATTACGATTGCTAGTAATTGTTTACTGTAATTGATTGTTATAACCACAATTGAAATTATAAGCGAAAATTTTGGTATGTTGTAAACTAAAACACTAAAAATACCTTGACTTTTATTTAATTATTTATTTATTATTATTATTTTTATAGAGAAGTGTGTGGGATTTTTCAAAAGTTTACATACTGTAAGGAATTGGCCAAAATCTTTAACTTCTGTGCTTAAAAATAGCCGAATTTATAAATTCCGTATTTATAACTACAAACAAATTCGGTGGAATATTACCACCGAATAAAACGAGCGCACCAGTGAAAATAACTTCCAAGTGTAAGCCTCTCTTCTTAATCCTGCTCTTACTATTGCTACTAATCTTACTATTACTACTAGTAGTAATACAAATACTAGCTTACTATTACTACTAAACAAATTGTATTTTTTATGTAAAGGTAACTGCAGATGTTCAAACAAATCATGGATGGGAAAATAGCTTTCCGTCAACGTTTATAACCAGCGTTAAACAGTCGACCCAATTCTGAGCTTACGACCGTCAATACTCAACTCCATAGTCCTGTTAATTTGAACCCAACCCAGAAGACAAGGGAACTGGATCAAGTATAGGGACAAACCAGCTTTCGTGGAGGATTTTTTGATGGAACTAACTCAAATTTGATTTGCATAGACAGGAAAACGACGAAAACCTCCCACGATTAGCCAGAGGGCAAGGTCTACCACTGAGGATATTTTACGTTAGCACTGTGGCAGGAACATGAATTTGACATTTTTTCATGCATTCTGATCAAAATATCACATTTTATTCGGTTGGAATAGTCGACACTAATGAATGGCCCGGACTGTGACAGAGAAGGTGTTAACAGGTTTGTGCCCTTTTTGAAATTGAAAATCGAATACCCATGTTTCGAGGTACCTCAAAAATTCATTGAATTCAACAAACAAATAGCATACAAGCAATAAATTGATTAGACCATAAAATGTGTTTGCAACAATTGCTAAAAGGATACGTGATTGCTTAAGTGTTTGATAAAATGTAGATGTAATATACGATTGCGGATGTAAATGCGCCGCTTCTATCAAAATGCATTTAAAATGTCAATTATAATGTACTTTCTATGCTTATTTTCTTCCTATTGTGGTCCTTGGTGGCAAAAACTGAAGTATTTTTTTCGAAACCGAATTCCAGTATAGACTGAAAATAAAGTTGAGTTCGATTCAGGAGTTTTCTCTCAATAGTGCTTTAAACGCTTTTACTTTATTTATGGCAGCCCTATATTTAAAAAATAATTAAACAGCAGATATTGTTTTAGTTTTGAAGACTACTGAAGCTGCATCTAATAAATATTAGGCCTCACATATATATGTATATGACTCTGGGGCTTTAGATATTGGCCAGTTTATTTATTATAACAATAATTAAACATTAGAGCGTAACTTTAGACAGCACTAGGAAATTTTTTTCCAAAAAGCATAAAAGTTGGCAGTTATGTTAATTTATACGCGCATTTTTTTTTCTTCTTAAATTTTGAACAAGTTTTTTACCTGCAATGTGACCGTTGCTTGAAGAAGAATATCACCAGCTTGAGATTTAGCTTTATCGTTATTTTCACTCGCTGATTCCACTGTCTTCATCAACAAGCTAACTTTGTCTTCCAGTTGCCGCAGTCCTTCTTTGGTGGTATTCACTTTAGTTATAAGTTGTTCCATGTTCTTTTCTGAATCACCGTCTTTCTTGGATTGGCTGTCGTCTTCACTCTGGAATAGAACAAAATATTTGTCGCTATATGTCTGTAAACTTTTGTTTTCTATCACTAATATATTATTGATAAACTATACTTCTTTTAGTAGTGGTTCGACAAATTTCGATAGCGTTTTTGTTTAAAGAATTATTTGCGACGCTTTTTGACATAAATTCTAAAAATATATATTAAGGATGGTGGTTATGTAACACCTGTTTAGATCTGAATTCTTCGTAGGTTGTGGTGATCAAGTTCTTTTTTAACCAATTGATCGTCTCTCCCTCTTTTAGAAGTAAAAGAGCTAACTCTTCCAAATACTAACTTTTTTTTTTAGCTCCCGTTTTTATTCTTTATAGACCATAGCCAGACATACTCCGTTCAAATCAAAACGTTTTCAGTCTAATTTACAGGTAGAGAAAACCTGGGTACTTTAAAACTAGATTATAGGACCAGACATGTTACGCTGTGTAGATCAATAACTTCTAAGAAACTTAAATATTAACAGCGTTTTGCGAAGGTAAATAAAAAAGCTACAATTTAAATACCTTTCACTTGATTCAAAGTCATAATTTTTAACTATACATACCATCTTGCAGCAAAAAAATATCTGGGCATAAGAATGACAAATAATTTAAATATTTAAAAAATTATTTAACTTAAAATTGCCAAGTTGGCGAGATTTCATTCAACAATTACCGAAATCTATAAATAATTCTCAAATTTTTGACATTTTTATGACCCTAGGTCAGTGGTTGGCAAAGTGCGGCTCCAGAGCCGCATGTGGCTCTTTGGCTCCTTAAGTGCGGCTCTGGTATAAATATCCACGGAAGGCGCAATAATATTTTCATTTAAAAAAAAAAAATTGGCAAGAAAAAAATTACATCTTATTTTGATAAATTAAAATTCTTCTATAAATCGAGAACATGTATAATTTTTTGTTAAAGCTAAAAGATAGGTAAATAAAATTCTAGATTGTTGTAAAAATACGTGACGAATATCGAGTTTAATTTTATTAATTTTCGTAAACGTAAACACAAACCATGTACAAGCTACCGGCTGAAATTGTTCGTACGTATAGCACGTGTGTGCTTTAAAGTTAATAACATGCTATATTTAAATTGCGTAATTAAAAATTAATTGCAAAAATAAATAAGAATAAAAAAAAGTTTAAGTTAAGGAAAAATTTAATTTATAACAAAAACATACAATGAAAACTTACATTGTAAAGAATTAGATAATTTTAATGAAGGGTTGAGGAACGCGTCCTCTCTCCACGCGAGTCAGTTTGGAAGTGCCTATGAGGGGGGTTTTCAACCGGTTATGCTGGCTGGATTTACCTCACTTCAGTTTGTTTTTTGGAGTGGTCAGGAGGGTTGTCGAGGTACATACTTGGGGACTGGGTGTTTGCCGAGGCACACCACAGTACGTTTTCGGCGTACTCTGGTGTGATACAAAGGTGCCACAAGCATGTGCGCGCATACTTTTTCTAAAGTAGTGGGGGTACAGTTTTGTCTTATCTACCGTGTCTGCCGTTGCCCTGTCTTATTAAGAAGTTGTTGTATTTTTCAATCTAGCTGCACATCTTGCAGGTATTTTTATACGATTTTATTACACCTGCTATGTATGTTTGTGGTTCCGGTACAAAATTTTTAATCGATTTTTCGATAACTTCTATTTTTCTATTTCTTCTATTTATACTAAGGAAACTTATTTTTTTCGATGTTAGAAGAAGTAGTAACATTCGAAAACAAATTATCCATTTTTGCTCAGGATTTTGACCGGAAAGGTAAACATTGTTTTACTTTCCGACCCTGCTGAAGCATCGCCAAGAAAATAATTCCTCTATTGATAAACACCATTTTAAAACAATAATTTTAAATATGAGGGAAGCATTTCTCAGCAGGTTTCAGGAATTTAAAAACAGCAGAGCAACTTTAGCATTTGTCAAAAATCCTCTTAATGCTACGATAACCGAGTTGAAATTTTCTCCTTTTGAAATTGACATTGGTAGCTTTGAAATACAATTGCTGGATTTAAAAAACAAGGAGATATGGCGCTCTAAATTCGAACGTCTTTGTGTTGAATTGGAAATATTGGAGAAGAAAAAATTTGATCTTAGTTCACAACACAAGTGGTCTGCTTTGAATGACCTGGAGAAGGAAGACATGATCATTTTCAACGCTTGGAATAGTATTCCTGACTCTTACGATCAGCTGAAAAAGCTCGCGTTTGCTGTTCTTTCCCTTTTCGGTTCTACATATATATGCGAACAATCTTTTTCAAGCATGAACATTATCAAGAGTAAACTGAGAAGTCGTCTTATTGATGAGAACTTGGAATCATGCCTAAAATTAAAAACAACAACATACAAACCTGACTTACTCAAACTTTCCAAGGAGATGCAAGCACATTGTTCGCATTAATAAATATTTATTAAGTATGAAATTTAGTTTTATTTAGTGTACTACTTATTTAGTGTAATAAAAGTTTACTAAACAAGCAGATTTGGCTCCCAATTTTTTTTAAAAATTGTTGTAATGTTCATATTTGGCTCTTTGGCTAATAAGTTTGCCGACCACTGCCCTAGGTAATGCAACGTTTGCTTGACTTTCTGAGAATTAAAATATAAAATCACAAACGCTTTCATTTTCACAAAACTTTAAATTTGTTTAATACTAGGAAGCTCGTCCCTGCTTGATAACGCTAGCCAGCCCACAGCTAGGCAGATCTAAGTTTTGCGCCATTTTCATTGCTAGCATAGAGTGAGTTGGCTAAAGATAGGCTAAACTTGGCCTAATAACCACGAATAAACTGTTACAAACTTACAGCAGTTACAAAAATAGCATGTTATTTAAAAAAAACGTAAGTGCTTCACGATAGGTTCCAAGAAAAGTAGCTTGAGAACTATTTTCTTTCTATTGCTAATGCTATGAACGCTAAAATAGAATTTCAGAAAACTCGTAGAACAAATTTTATTTAAAAAAAAAGAAAATTGCGCAACATGTAGTTAATTATATAGGGATGCCAAATATATATAAATCTCAATTTTGAATTTTTATTGTCGCCTACGTCGATTTTTCTTTTGCACGGCAGTATTAGGAAAACTATAATCCTGCGAAAGTTGGCAGCTTCGTCGTTGGATTTCACTGAGTATTAGCCGCAAGAATTTACACATAACACTGATCTTACCTCTGAGGGTGGTCTTCTTGCACCAGGGGTCATTCCAGCCTTTAGTTTCATCTCCAACTCTTTGGTCAGGGCAGCGTGTTGACCCATCAGATTTCCACGACGCACCATTTTTTTCACCATCGATTCTCCATCATTAAGTTGGGGTGAAGAATCCTTATGCTTATGAATGTCGAATGCGGAACTGCTTCGCTGTGTTTCGAATGCGTCGTCCGATTCCCTCTCCATTTCTTCCATTGACAAACTCAACCATTTGTTTTCACTTCAAAAAGAAAATGTAAAAAACAAATCAAGGATTCTAGTTCAAGATTGTCAAAAGCAACTATTTCTGTGAATTTATTATTATTATATACATTTTTTCAATGTAAATGAACCACACGACACCTGGACATTAGGACTGATTTTGCGATTGACAGACTCAACCATTTATTTTCATTTCAAAAAGATATTGTAAAAGAAATCGAGAGGAGTGTTCACTAGTTCAAAATTGACAAAAACAACTATTTCTATAAAAAAAATTATTGTTATTTTCATTAAAAAAATTTTTTTTAAATAAACCACTTAACATTTTTTCTGTCTGGACATAAGGAAATATCTAGGGATTGTGGGTACTATCACTTTTGAAACTAAGAAACTCTTTGTGGGTGATTATTGTTGAGGTAAAACTGAACCTAGTGGAATTCATCATCCTCATCATAGTTGGCCAGACAGCACAATGTGAGCTAATGCCTTCCTCTGAAGATTTCTCCATGGCGACTTTCGATTTGGAAGTCGTGCGAAGTAGAACCCATCCATTAAAAAAAAAGAGATGTTGCACCAAATAGTTTAAAGAATCTTATTGTGAATACCTTAGCAGTTAGAGATCTCCACTGGTTACATTTTACTAATTGTTTGCAGTTTAATCACTATTTTAGTGTAGGGTCCGATGTTTGTTCTTACATTCTTTCTTTTTACTCCTGCAGTATATATCGGCATCACCTTTTACGGTGAAATGGTGGCATATGTATAGACTTAACATTTTACATTCCGATTACTTTAATATTCTGTTGGAACTAACATGAACACTAAATCATTTAAACTCAGTGCAATATTTTTATATAATTTCTAAAATTCATAAAATAATGTGTTTACTAAAAAGAACCATTTATTAAGATCAGAAGTGGTGATTTTTGATGTCTACTCAGAGTTGATATTGGAATGCAAAAGATTAAAGTGGTTACTGCCCGGCAGTAGACTGATCGTAAAGACAAGGTTCCCAGTAGAACACTGAAGTCAATGCTTCGATCAATGGCTGCGGTCAGTGTGCTGATCGAATTTGATCAGACTGCAACGGCACCGAGGTATCGGACCTCGTTAAACCGTTCTACTGTAAAGCCATCCTACGTTAACTCGATGCTTAGTATATTTTTAAAGCTAAAGTGGTAGATAACAGAAAGATATATCCACATGGTATAAACAAATCTGTAGCAATTTTTTTTTCTTCATAGTTAGGCCATTTAATGTAGCCGGACATGTAAATATGTTTCGATAAAAATAAATAAATTTAAATCAACAATAATTAAAAATAAACTAAATTACATAATTATTTAAAATGAATAGAGAAATTGCTTGATTATGATAAAGCTTCGCACTCTAGAGGGAGCCACGAGTAATAGCATCATGTCGAATGATACTTTAGGTATTGTTGAGCATCTATAAAAGTGTTTTACTTAATCTAATAGCGTAAAGTCACTGTGACAGGCAGCAAATAATAAAAAGCTTTTAATTGTGGCAGCATATGCTGTTTAGCTTTGAGCATAGTTGCATATTGATGAATACTAACTTAGTGTTTATTTACCATTTGTTTTACCTTGTACGATGAACAGGTATTCAGATAGTTTAATATATAAATTGTTTAATTACCTTGTTTGTTGTGAGGGTGGACTTTCTTCTTCATCAATTCGATCAGACGATTGAGGGGTGGACAAACTAATGGACCGTTGTCGTAGGTCACTTACTTCGTCCGATCGAGACTGAAAAAGAAAAAGGCATAATGAGCTGACCACTATCATAATGAATATAAAAATCTGTATCGGTCTTTACTGGTCACTTGAAGAATATATGAATATTGGACTTGAAATTAAGTAGCCCCCCCCCACCAGGCTCACTCCGTAACACCCCAGGGTCCCCCGGCACACACTTTAAGAACCATTGGATTATACAATCCAAGTTAGATAAATAATCCCAAGAAACTGAAGCGGAAAGATATTATTGGATTAAAAATTATTTGCTTAAAAAGTATACAAATTGGAAAAACCAGTCGAGATGTGTTAAGCGCTCAAAAACAGGCACCCATTTTCAAGACTTGCCAAACGTGACGATCTTGGATAAATCGGACAAGCTGGACATGCTTTTAAAATCTCGACTTAAGGAACACGATAGATATATGATGTCCATTGTCAAAATTCGAAAAATCATCAATTGCTGCACATTGTTGGAATCTCTGGAATAAATTCAATTTCAACAATGGTAAAGTTTTTTCCACCCTAGTTCCATCAGCACATCTTGATAACCTGGAATCTTCTTTTATTCGTATGAATGCTGATTCCCTTGTGAACGGCATTAGTTTCTCACCACCTCTCCATTGCACGTGGAAATGCTTTTACCCTGATTTGTCCCTTTCGGCCACTGTAATTTTTTTCGTTCAGTTCTTTTTTTTCTCTCGACTACTGTTATTTTCAATTTGTATATTTTTGAAGAGAATAAAGTCTTTAATAAAGTAATAAACAATCAAAGGTTCTAAGCTTGGATTGTAAATTCATTTCTTCCCCTGAAAAAACATGGAAAAAAATCGTTTTTGAAAAAATAGATTTATTTGGAAAAAAAGAAAATATATTAATTAAGAAAAAAGGAGAAAATAATAGAAAAATACCGATAATATTGAAATTATAATAAATAGAAAAATATTAAGATACACTGATGTGAAATAGAAAAGAAAGAAAATAATATAAAAATACAGACATTTTGATGCAACAAAAAAAGAGAATAAAAATGTGGAAATATTTTGGATTATCAACAAAAAAAAAAAGAAAATAATGGAAAAATACGGAGATATATTGAAGTAAAACAAAAAAGGAGAAAATAATAGAAAAATACCGAGACATATTGAAATTGCTAAAAAAGAAAAGAATTGAAGAAATACGAAGATATATGTTGAAACAGGAGAAAAAGAGAAAAATAATAAAAATAAAGTTTAGAGATAGATTGAAGCAACAAAAAAAGAAGAAGCAATATAAAAAATACGGAAGTACATTGGAGTAACAGAAAAAAGAAAAATTAATAGAAAAATTCCAGATACATTGAAGTAACAAGGAACAGAAAATAATAGAAAAATATCGAGATATATTCATACCTGCCAATTCCTCCGGTTTTCTCGGAAGATATTTTTTTCATATTTAAAGTGCTAGCAAGATTCATGCTATTTCACTAAACTTTTTGAATTATATTAATAATTATAAATGAGTTTGACCACCACTACATATAAATAATTGCAACAAATATATAAAAAGCATATTAGTCCTCACGATGGCGAATTTCAACCTGATTAAAATATAAATATCTTTTTGAGTATAACTGTTTTTCGGTAATTGTTTTACTACCACTTGGAAAATCCATTCTCGAAAAGAATGAATGTTGGCAGGTATGCATATTGGAATAACAAAAAAGAAAAGAATAGAAAAATAGGAAGATATACTGATGTAACAGAAAATAATAAATAAATAAAAAATCCAGAAATATATTGAAGCAACAAAGAAAAGAGAAAATTATGGAGATCTATTGAAATTACAGAAACAAGCGAAAAGAGTCGAAAAATGCGGAGATGTATTAAAGTATCAGAAAAAAAGAGAAAATAATTAAAAAATACGGAGATACATTGAAATAACATAAAAAAAGAAAGGAATAGAAAAATACGGAGATATATTGAAGCAGCAAAAAGAACCAGCATATGAACTGTTAGATTAATTTACTCAAATTGACAACTAAATTCTCCGTTTAGAACTTTTACCACTAAGTTATTCGGGTGAAATAAAATAAAATAAGTGTCAGTTGAGACACTTTTAGGAGGAAATAACATTTTTTGTTTTTAACGAGAATAATTTAGTGGGAAAAAATTAAATAACCGTAAATAATCTGTATTTTTTCCTCTTAACTAATCGGAATAAACGATTTCAACTAAGCTTAAGAAGTTATTGTGACTTCCGCGTTTCTGAAGAATAATTACGTCCGCCCACTGATTAAACGCAATAAATTTAGCTGACTTATAATTTTAATACTAGAATAAATTTCACTTTAGGTAAGGAATTATTCAGTTTCTTAACTATTTTATTTTAGTCATTTTCTGAGGAGTTGACTTTAGAAAGGAGTTAAGAGACAATTCCTTTAACTTTTTTTCAATGCCAACAGCTCATTTTTTTAAACTTAATTGCTTTGTGTCTGTGATAGTTAAAAGCACGACTGTCAAGACTTAAAAGACAAATAACAAAAACTAATTTATTTTTAAATTGCTGCGAATTTTGTTTTTAATTACTTAACGCTCTAAAAACACGTCTTTCAGTATTTTAACATGTCTAACAGTGAATTAAAAAAAATATGGAAAAGAAGTAAGGTGATGTTAGGATATTGTTTATCTTTTAACATAACAGTTTATAATAGTTGATCCTAGTATCAATTAAAAGATTACCGGTTTCTGCATAGCCCAACTTTTTGAGCTCGGTTGTTTGTTTATGGAGTACTTTAACCATTCTGTGATCGCGGAGCTCTTGTTGCCCACCATTTGCCAACTATTCTTATCAACTTCTCGTCCCATCGGCAGCTTAAATACAGAAAGAATTGTGGTCCTCTTCCATTGACCCACTCTATAATCCACCCAGTGGACTTATTCCACGACACGGTTCCCAGTGGATCACCGAAATCACTTGCTTCCGTCTGTAAGCGAGTGGGTGACCACTTATATTGACCTGCACAGAAACCGAGGAGGTGCGGTATCAAGTGCTGGACTTAGTGCTCAAATCTTTAGTCTATCGAAGCAAAGAAGACATCTCCTCGGCAGAAGATTTAAAATTGTGATGTCTTCGGATCATCTTCCAGAATGTTTCCCAGACCGTCGCCGATAGCTTTTTGTGCAGCTTTAGTATAACGTGAATAAAATGCAACTAAAATGACTCGTACTAACCGACTTTATTTCTCGGGTTGATGGAAAAAGAATGGAACTAATATGGATAAATTTTGTTGTTAAAAGTACCTCGATGGTTCTTTTTCTTCTTCTTTTTTTTTATAATTCCCTGGAGAATTTAACCTATTTTCTTAATGACTATACCGGCAATTGCCTGTAGTTTATACCTTCTTATGTGAGTCTGTAATGTTTATAGGATAATAAATGTTCTTGTTTACTTTTCCTTTTACCCGTTTGCTTTTAACCCTTTCCGCCACAGTTTTACCAACCAAGTAACACTTTATCCAAAAATATTGCAAATTGCTAGAAATGTATAACTATTTGCATCTAAACGTTCGTCACTTTTTAGCTGCCAGTATTTTTTAAGCAAACAAAGCAATAAAGTACATCTTTTCAAAAAGAATACTCTGTCTGATGTTGAAAGTTACTTTAAAATGGATATAGTTAACCGTTTCATGGGGTGGGAGATAAAAACTGACCCACATATTTTTGACAATAATATAAACCGCTGATGCTTTTTGTCACTTAAATGTGGTTTTTATTCAACCTTTTTTTATTTTGAAAAATGTAAAAATAAAGATACTCGCTTCATTGTGTATGCGCATACTATCACCTGCTTTTCCTAGTTTTTGATGACATAATTTTTTTAAATAAAATTCCCCTCTAAAGGGTTACATTTAAAAAAAACTGCAACACCAATAGTATTCCGTGAGGGAGCGATATTGTTCATACGGTAGGGATTCACATGTTAATCAATTTAAACTCGACTTTTTGCACTGTAATGGTGTTAAAGATGGAAATAATAAAAAAAAGGGGGGGTCAGGGGAGCGTACGCCTCCTAATGATGTAACTCAGTTTCAAATCCCAGCTTTGACTGGTCCATACGAATTACGCTCCCGGCTCACACTGACCACAGTGCTGACATAAAAACATCCTCAGTGGTAGACGGATCATAGATTCGAATCCCATTGCTATTGGGGTAACCGTAAAATGTTTTCGTGATTTTCCTTTTCCGTGTGACGCAAATGCGGGTTAGCTCCATGAAAATCATCGAAAGCCAGCTTGTCCCAATGGTTGATACGAGAGTTCCCTTGTCTTCTGGATTGGGTTGAACATTGATAGTCGTACACTCAGAATCGAGTTGGCTGTCCAACTCCGGTTATGAAGAAAATATAAAATTATCAAAAAAGTGTTTGTACAGTGCACATAATAAGAATTAGAGCGTTTAAGTAGCTTTCGATCGAGAGAATTGATTTTTGGCCCCACAACACGCCATCTGATTGGATCGAAGTCTAACCTTAAGAAATGCGAAAAATATTTAAATTTGCGAAAACGAAATTTCTTTGAATAAACACAACTTTTTTCGATAAGTTTTAAATTTTCGATCCTTAAAATTTGAAAGAAAACCACAATCATAAAAATTTGAGGAAAAAAAATTTTTTTTTTAGGAGGGAGGTCGAAAGTTTGGTCCCTTTAAGCAAAAAAGCACTTAAATTTGCAAAAACTATCGAACAAATTAGAATTTCAAAACAAAATATACGATAAGTTCGAAAGTAAAAATGGCTCTTTTACAACGTCAAATTTCAGCTATATAGTTGCATTTTAACGGGCATAGTTCAAACATGTTATTTTTTCCCGTACAAGTTTAAGAGTTATTAATTCTCGAACTGATAGTTGAATGTTAATTTTTTTCATTCCGTCTTACTCCTTGTATTTTTCTTTCTTTCGTAACTTCATTTTTTAAAAATCTTATTGTTTTTGCTCAGTAAAACAAAATGTATCTTTAAAAAAAATTGAGAA